CTCCTAGGGAGCTCGGTTGCCCTCGCTTTGCTTGTATGTACTTCGTCCCTTCTCCCAGAGATACCCGAGGACAACTCACTCCAACGCAACCTCACCTTTCAAATTCTATCTCGGAATGTCTGCCATTGCGAAATGCACACCAGCTGAGCCCAGCATATGCGAGATACGTGGGTTGCAATTTGGTGTGGAGGTTAAGAATAGAAACTGTTTGAGCTAGACTTTTATATACACTACATTTAATACCCACATGATCTCTGTTTTTGCAGAGGAGGACACTGAGGTTTGGAGACGTTGCATTAAATTAAGAGCATACAGTAGGAGGCAGAACAGGGACATAAACCCACCTAGTCCATGGCTGCCTCAAATGAACAACTACAAATACCAGCAGACCTTGCCATGAACCACTGCGCAAACGCACACTACCCTGAGCCCAGTCCTATCGGCTGAACCCGAGACCCAATCAACACTGCGGTGCTTTGCTCGCCAACCAATGGGAAGGCTGTTGCTAACAGATAGGTTATATTTTTAGCTAAGGATGTTCTGGCACCCGACCAGTGGGCTGGCTTTCAGTGCTCGGGTGGAGCACGCTCCAAGCGGAGAGGTGGAGAGGGGAGGGTGAAGCGAGGAAAGGCGGAGCGGGGCGTGTGTATGACGCTCGGCCACTGGCTGACGCACGAAGCAAGTAGTCCCTGGAGGTGCCCCGGAGCCGAGCTCTCTGCGCTTGGGGGATGGGAGTGCTCTCTCGGGCCCATACTCCCTCCCGCCTCCCTGTCTGCAGAGTTTGCCCTCCAGCCTAGCAAATCTTTGCTGCTGTCAAGGACAGCGCATTTCAGTCCCTACACTACCGCTGCTCTCTGCCCTTGCCAAAAAAGTGATCAAGGAAAATAAAATGCTAACTGTTCCGTAACTGAAAACTTTCCGATCTCACCACCCCACGTGGGTTCGGAAGCAGCCGACCGGCCGGAACCGTCAAAAATGAGAAGGGAGGAGGGGGCGGAGGTTGAGGGGAGAGGACTAAGGAAGGGGTGCTCTAAGGAGGGAAACGACTTCCGGCACAAGCGCCCCCTTGGGGCCCCGAGACTTGCAGTCTGGCAGTGCATTCTCCTGTGACCTCACTGCCCTGAGCTACCTCCCCCCGCCCAGTTATAAGCCTCTCACTGTTACAAAAAGGTAGAGTGACCCGCATGGCCAAAGGCCCGGCCAGGGAACCTGATAGTGCTGACCTGGAGCACCCTGTTTCGCATTTAGCGAACCTTGCGTCGCCGCCCAAGGGGCCTTCAGGTGTACAAGCCTGGCGCCCCTGTAGGGGCGGGTGCCCCCTGAAACGTGGCTTGTTTTCTCTTAGACCTTACGGGGGCTGCCAGTTAGGAAGAGCAAATGTGGACCTCCCCAGAGGAACCGAGCTCGCGTGGAGCTGGTGCCCTGCCTGCCCTCTCCTGGCACGGGGAACTGGAGCCTGGAGGCGGCAAGTGAAAGGTTAATCGTGGTGCTCGGCTCTTCTTCCTGCACAGCTCTCCCCGACCCCAAATCCTCCACCTCCTTCCCATCGCTCGTTACCCGACGAGGGGCGCGACACTCGAAGACTCAGGCCAACCTGAGCTTAGGTCTGAAATGTTTCCAGAGCTCGCCTCGTGTCCCACTTCCCTGACCCGAGAAGAGATCCTAACTGGGGCCATTCGATCGCGGCGGGAACAGTCAAACGCCCAGAGTCGTAAGGACGTCGGCACCAAGGTGGTCTGGCGAGGGACCAGTGCCGTCGGTGCCCAGGCATGTGTAGGGCTGAAATGGGGGTGGAGGGAACTCTCGGGGGACGGGCGGATGCGCCCCTCCACGCGACATCCACTCATGTAGCGCAGCCACCGTGAGCGCCCACCATGTCCCTGCTCTCGCGTAGCTCAAGTCCACTTGGGGAAGCACCCTACAAGGCGAGCGCAAGTTCAAATAGTGGCTGAGAACCTGAAGACCAGAAGTACGGGGCGGTGGCGCTAGGATAGGCAGGGAAAGGCAGGTGGCCTTGCGGAGAGGTGGCCAAGCCAGGAGGCCAGGTTGGGGGTCCGTACCCAAAAGCCCGCGAGAGCACCCCGGCCACTAGCTCGATCCCAAGCCCGGCCTCAAACTCTATTCTGGGCACCCAGGGGTTAAACTCGGCCGGCCGGGAAGTAGTCCCGGCTGTGCGCACGGCCCCGCCCCGGCAGGGCGGAGGGACGAGTCGCGCAGGGGTGGGGAAGCCGGATCCGTGCGCAGGGTTGCTAAGGGTGAAACTTTTCATTGACTTTGCTCACTTCGAGCCGGGGCGCGGGAAGGTGCGGGTCGCCCGCGGAGATCAGCTCGTGGCTGGGGCAACGCGGGGGGGCCAGAAGAGCAGCACTGCTCACCGGCCACGAAGAGGACCGCCTCGCCCCTGCGACGCCAGCCACCCCGCGGTCCAGCGTCCCCGCGCCGCCGCCGGCCGGCCCGCCCTCCGGCCCCGCCGCCAAGAGCCACCTCCGAAAGAAAGAGCGGAAAAAATATTGAGAGTTGTAACCCCTCATTCATCTCCTCGCCCCGCAAATCTCAAGGAAGAAAAGCACACAGTGGGGCCCGGCCTCGCGGCGCCCGGAAACACAGAACGAGCGACCTCCGCCCCGCGCTCGGGACCACCGTGGCAGAAGACGCCCCGCTGCGGCGGAGACCCGAGTGAGTGCGGGGGCTGCGGGCGCGGGGGCCCCCGACACCCCTGGGCCGACCGCCCTACCCACCCCGCCCCACGCCTGCTTGCACGTCGCTGTGGCCCCTTCCCTCCCCTGGCCAGCGTTTTCCTTTCCCCCGTCTACTTTTCTCTCTAGACTCCCCTTTCTCCAGTGCTTTTAACTGAGCCTGGGGTGCCCAGAGCTCCTCCTCTCCCAGTTCCAACAGTGGCCTCTCCTGGGTGGGGTGCGTTTCTTCTGTTGCCTCCATTTCCAGCTCTCCGTATCCCAAATACTGGCTAGATTTTCTTTGCTTTCCCAAGGAACGTAATTCCCACCACCGTTAAATAAATTGGGGGAAGGAAAGGGATTCAAGCCTTGTTTTTCTGCTGCTTTTCCCGTGTTCGGGGAAGGGGAGGTGGTGATGATTTAGTATTTCTGGCCTTATCAAACGACAAGGATGGAATTGGACACCGTTTTTTGGCGACAGGGCGCGATTTGTGGAGGTTGGCTTTGGGCTGCTGAGCCATAATTCATTCCAGTTTGAGCTCTTTATCCTCTTCTGTGCTTTAAGGGAAATTGGGCAGAGTGGGGGGGGGGAGTACCCGTAGAACCATAGAACGTTGTCAGTGAGTGGATTTGCTTGATCTCGGTGGGGTGCCTGAGAGAAAGGACCCCCCCAACTCCTGAACTCCTTCCCCACCTGTCCAGAGGTTGGGCTATGGCCTTGAGCAGGAGGGAAAGGAGAGAGCAGACTGAAGGGCAAGCTGCGGGCCCTCCCCTCCCCCTGGAGCAACCAAAGCCGCACACTTTGTGCTTCAATTTAGGGACCAGTAGACAGTGTCTCAGGTGCCTATTTAAGGTCTCACCTAGCTTTTTTCACTTCACTCACCTTACTCTGGGTGTGGGTTCTCATCTTTTATTTCACTGTAGAAAAACCAGCCCTCTTGCATGCTTGCATGCCTGCCCCCATCCTTCTCTTAAGGATTGGGAAAAGCAGCTTGTGTGGGAGGAAGGATTAGGGAGGTTTAAAGAGTTTTAACACTCTGTAGGGGAGCTTTGCGGAGGATATGGTAAATCTAGTCATAGGGTAGGCCTAGCAGTGGAAGGAAACACAATGAATTTTAAGTTTTAGAAGATGGGTTGTTCAGGTTTCTTTCTTCTTTTTCTTGAGACAGGCTTTCAATATAGTTGAGACCAGCCTTGTCTAAGCCCAGGCTGGCCTCGAACTGGCGGCGATCCCCCAGCCTCAGCCTCCCAAGTGCTGGGATTACAGGCGTGCACCATCACACCCAGCTGTTCAGGTTTCTGGTACAGTTTTTCCTTTCCTGCCCAGGAACCTTTTCCTTGCCCGCCCAGGTCTGGTTACTCAGACTTGGATTAGAAGTGGGGTGAGGTTGAGGCCCTGCTGGCGTCAGGCCTTCTAATTGTCCTCCCGGCCCCTCCCCACTGCTTAAGTGGGAATTTCTTTGGCCAAGAGGACCAAAGAACTAGGTCTAATTCCTGCCTTTCCTTTCCTGGCTGTGGGGGTGCTGGAGCCAAGCCCATTGGGCATTAAATGAAAAAGGCTCCTTTCTCTCTGGATCCACCGACCCTGCAGCAATGCCAAACGGCTACTGTCCAGTCCAGACCGTCCAGCCCAGACCGTAGAATTCAGATCAAGAGGCTAGGGTGGGAGTGAGTACGTGGCCTTATCTATCCCAGCCCACACCCTTCACCCAAAACAAAACAAAAAAACTCATTAGAGGCAGATTCCTAATTCAGCAGTCTTGGGAGGATGTGAAGAGAAAGGGCAGAAAGTCGAGGCCCCCCCCCCCCCCGTAAAGCCTAGATACGGACACGGTGGGGCGATGCGTGACGGCGGCGAGCAGGCCTTGTGGGTAGATATATCTTAGGCGGTGGGCGGGGGTGCCGTCCACCCCGGCGCGCATGTGCGTCGGAAACTTTTCCTTGGCTCCCGACCCCGGCCCAGTCCCCCTGCCGGGCATGCGCGTTCAGCGACTGCCTCGCGGGGTGCGCCGGGAAGTGTGGTGTGCTCAGAAGTAGGTCACGCGCCACGCCGGCGCGAGGGGCCCACGGATGGGGCTTCCAGGGTGCTGAGCGCGCGCCCTTCGCCCGTGCGCGGAGTGAAGCAGAGCCTGAAGCACCCTGCTTTGGAGAGGAGCCCTCCCGGCCAGGCCTCCCCCCAGTAGCTGGAGGGGGCTGTGTTGGAAACGGAGTGGGGTGCAGACACCTCAAGTCCTGGAAGCCGTTCAACCCACATCTTCCCTTCACCCGTTCCCCACCCGAGACCGTGGAGTGGGGCAGGTCTGGGGCTGGGCTGCAGCCTGAGCTTGGCAGTTTCTCCCGGGGCAGTGGCTCCACCGAACTGGAACACCTGCTCCCTCGCCCTCTGCCTCCTGCCCCTGTCCCCACGCTCCTTTATTTGAATCCAAGTACAGTGCTGGAGTACTTGACTGTAGGATGATTTGGATGCTAAGGGTTTAAGGTACTCGGATGTTTGTATAGGTCTTGGACCAGATTCTCTCCCCATTGCCCCCCTCAACTCCTTGACCCCCTCCCCCCATGCTGGGAATCAAACCCACAGCAAGTGCCCTCCCTACCTCTGAACTACACTCCCCAGCCCTTTCCTTTCCCTTTTTAAAACAAAACTGGCTTTTCTTAAAAACCTTGCTTGGCACTCTTATCAGTGGCTCTTTCTAGAGTGTGCACTGGCTAAGGCCTCCTACCTGCTTCTCTTCTGTCTTTCTCTTAAGTATTTAACTGCGATAAGAGCACAAGGGGTGTGAGCCCAGGTTTATCCTTGTAGTTGGATGTAAAAGAAGTGAAGGAGGATAAATAAGGTTCTTAATGAAACTGGAAAGTATATTTGCAACTTTTTAATACATGGACAAAGGGCGATTTCTTTCCCCCACCCTCACCCTGTTTAGCTGCCTTTTGTGGACTTTAGTTGAAAAAGATCTCAAGTCCTAAAAAAAAAGATCTGAAGTCCTCTGCAGCTGCATAAGGAATCTTATTTGTTAGTTTTATTGAATTTCTAAGCTTTCTAATCTTACCACACTTCTGTAAATGTTTTATGATAAGCTCTAGAGTTTGTCCATAGCTTTCTAATAAACGAACAAACTCATCAGAATGGTCACTCCTGTCTTTAGCTGAAGACAAGACAGACAGCACTAGTGCTTTTAATCTTCTGCCCAATAAGCTCCTTGAAGTCAAAATTAGACCCTGAGCTGATAGAGCAGAAAATCTCATTCTGGTCATCCGGCATTTTTGTAAGGTTCCACCTCACAGCCATCTGGCCTGGCCAGTTTTCCAGTTAAAGAGCCAAAGGTGGCATTATATGCTTCCTTATCCTTGCGGCACCATCTCTGAGGTATAAATTGGTGTGCAGCTTTAGTTGCTTGTGCTGCAGAAAGTGGTTGGCTGGTTGGCTGGGCAGGGCTGATGACAGTGCTTCTATTGTATTTTGGGGTGGGAGGCTTATTTCCCAATGACTGGCCTACATTTAAAACTGCTTGCATTCTGAAGCTGAACTGTTCAGGGCCTGTTAACTTGCAAGGTAATTATACAGCAGAGTTTAAGGAGGCCTAGGAAGGTGTGGAAACTCTTTGGTCTGGACTGAATACCAAGCGTCCACTCAGTACCTTGGGGGAAGTGTGCTAAGTTGTTTTCAAGTCTGTTTTACTTTTTGAAATCTCTTTGAAAATGCCATCTTTAACCTGACCATTATGGCAACTGAGGCCTGCTTCAGTTTTTCAGTCTCTTCTCTGTTGGACGCTTCTAGTAGACTAGGGTGACATTTTCAAACCTCAACTTTTTTTTTTTTTTCCTTTTTATCGGTACCAGGGATCGAATTCACGACCACCTGCTTGCAAGAAACCTCAACTTTTTAAACTGGGCACGGTGGTGTGCATCAGTCTCACGTAGTAGGGAGGCTGAGGCAGGAGGATCTCTCAAGCCCAGGAGTTTGAGGCTGGTCTGGGCAACAGGGCAAGACCCTAACTCAAAAAATAAATAGATAAATTCAAAGGTTTTCATTCTTGGGAAGAGGTCTGCTATCCAGTAAGCTAGCTTTCTATTCCGTGATGAGTGCAGTCTTCATCAACAGCCCTTTATCCTTTTTACTGTTCTCTTTAAACCTAAAAGAACCTCGGAATTGGTCTGTCCTGATTATACGTACACATCTGAAGAAGTCTACCAAGTCTGGGTTGGAACCTTTAACAGCAGAAATCTGGTTTCCCAGATGCCAAGCCTTCGGTGGCCGGCTCAAGAGAGGGCCATGGACGCCCCTGCCACCTCCGTGATGGGATGAGGCTTAGACCTCATCAAGTCACTGACCTTGGCTGCTGCAGGCTGACCCAGGCATCTTCTCAGACACATTCACCCCAGAAATCTCTCTAGCTGAGGGTTTAGTCCCAAACATACCCCTTGCAGTCATGGGCTGGAGCTTGAGAGTTACGGGGAAATGCGCTGAGCCAGGTTCTCATCCTAGAGTTCCTACTGACATCCCTCATTCCTCCTCCATACCCAGAGGGATCTGAGTCAGAACCCACCCCGAGTCCGTCACAGGTCAGCAGTTGCCCTTGCTGGGTCACAGCTCCCTGTTGTTCCGTGCTGAGCTCTGCAGCATCAGCACAGCGGCTCCTGAGGTCCACTAGGGATGCATCTTCATCCTTCCCTCTCAAACAGCCCCTTTCCAGCTCACTGTCTCCCCGAGCGTGTCTGGGAGCCCCCCTTTTGGGGAGTATTTGATTAGGCTCCCTGGCCCTGGGGACCTCGTAGACCATCTTCCTGAAACCCGAGGCTGGCCCAGGCCACTGCCTAAGCCTTTCCACCCTCGGGGGCTGCAAGAATCCCAAAATACCCAGCCTGTTTACCTTGGCTGTCTCCTCCAGGGATCTCTGAACACTTGATAAATCTGACCCTGTACCGAGGACAGGTGGGCAGTGATGGGTCCCAAGCTGCCAGCTGTAGGGTGATGAAAATTTCTTCTCTGCTCACTCTTGCTGTGCGCTTCATGTGTGTGTGTTGGAGGTACTAGAGGCTGAATACAGGGATTTTCACTAAGTTACACACTTCCCCAGATCTTTTTTAAATTTTAAGATCTTACTAAATCACTTAAGTTGCCCAAGATGGCCTCAAACTTAAGATCCTCCTGCCTCAGCTTCCCAGAAAGTTGAGGTGACTGGTGCTCACCACCACACCTAGCTCTCAAGGGGTGCTCTTACTCTGTTGTCCTCCAGTCCCAGCTGTCCCCTTGGTGGCCCACATCTCTGGCTGTGATGGAGTCTTTCCTTCTTCCCTGGACTATGCTCTTGTCCTGATTCTTGGAGACTTTTTCTGGGTGGCTTTGCTTACACTGGAGTTAAAAAGGCAGTCTGCAAACCCAGACTGAGCCTGAGCATATGCAGCCATGAGGCCCAGGAGAACAGATGGATGTGATTGGCATCCCAGCCCTGTGAAAAGTTGCCAGCGCTCCTTCCTGTGCAGTGACCTGTATCCCTGTCCACAGAAGGAGGACAGCTGAAGATCTTACACTTCCATCTTGAGCTGGGACAGTGGGGCGCACAGCTTCACCAAGAGCAAGAAATGCCCATCCTTGCTCTGGCTGAATAAGTCCTCAGGGGTATGTGTGTGTATGTTTTATATTGTGACCCTCAAGTTGGTAGGAAACAGCACCCCGATTTCTTTAGAATCACCTTGAAGTCATAGCTATGCTAAGTACAGCAGTTTCCAGTGAGGCAGTTTAAAACCCTGGAATTCATGATACCTTCATGTTACTGATGAGGAGACCAAGGCTCAGAAGGAAGTCACTTAACCATGGCCCAGTGGAGCAGTAGTGGCTTCCAGATCTGAGTGACCCTGAGTTGGTGTGCTTTTGCTTTTCCTGTTTGGTTTTTGGTGGTACTAGGGGCTCTTTGCTGGCACACACTTTACTATCACCCTACATCCCTAGCCTCCCTTTTTATTTTTTTTTACTTCGAAACAGGGTCTCCCTAAGCTTCTCAGGCTGGCCTCGGGCTTGTGATCCTACTTCAGCCTTCCAGGTAGCTGGGGTCCTGGGCGTGTGCCACCGCACTCTGCCCACATAGGTGCTCTCCGCCATTTGCCATTAGTTGCTGCCGCCTTTGTGCATATCTACTCACAGGGCCCCCTCCTCCTTCCTCATTCCCCAGGACCGTGCAGAGCCTAAGGCCACCTACCGTGTGTCTCCTGCACCTGCCCTGCACTGACTCGGCTTCAGAGAGGACCATGCAGCTAGAGATCAAAGTGGCCCTGAACTTCATCATCTCCTACTTATACAATAAGCTGCCCCGGCGCCGCGCAGACCTCTTTGGGGAGGAGCTGGAGCGGCTGTTGAAAAAGAAATATGAAGGCCACTGGTACCCCGACAAGCCCCTGAAGGGCTCCGGCTTCCGATGCGTGCACATTGGGGAGATGGTGGACCCTGTGGTGGAGCTGGCTGCCAGGCGCAGTGGCCTGGCGGTGGAGGACGTGCGGGCCAATGTGCCTGAGGAGCTGAGCGTGTGGATCGACCCTTTCGAGGTGTCCTACCAGATCGGCGAGAAGGGGACAGTGAAAGTGCTCTACCTGGATGACAGCGAGGGTGGTGGCGCCCCAGAGCTGGACAAGGAGATCAAAAGCAGCTTCAACCCTGATGCCCAGGTGTTCGTGCCCATCGGCAGCCAGGACAGTTCCCTGTCCAGCTCCCCATCGCCGCCCTTCGGGCAGTCACCTAGCCCCACGTTCATCCCCCGCTCCGCGCAGCCCATTACCTTCACCACCGCCTCCTTCGCCGCAACCAAATTTGGCTCCACCAAGATGAAGAAGGGCGGTGGGGTCTCAGCTGCAGGCACCGTGGGCAGCAGCGGGCCTGGTGGGCAGCAGCCACCACCGCAGCCCCCGCGCCTGGCACGCTCGCCCACCGGCAGCCTGCTGAAGCACAAGGGCCTGTCACTGTCCATGCACGCACTGAACTTTGTCCCAGCCAGCCCAGCGCCGCCACAGTCCCAGCTGTCGCCCAACGCCAAGGAGTTTGTGTACAACGGTGGCCGTGGCTCGCCCAGCCTCTTCTTTGATGGCGCTGAAGGCCAGAGTAGCGGCCCCGGGGCCAGCACCTGTAACAGCAGCGGCTTTGACGTGGCCCAGGTGTTCGGAGGGGGTGCCAACAGCCTCTTCCTGGAGAAGACGCCCTTCGTGGAGGGCCTCAGCTACAACCTGAACACCATGCAGTACCCCAGCCAGCCCTTCCAGCCTGTGGTGTTGGCCAACTGACCGACCGTGCATGTGCCTCCAGCAGGGAGGGGAGGGAGCAGAGTGGCGGGGAGGCATGCAGGGGGACACGGGGGTGGCCGACGTCCTTACTGGCAGAAAGGATCCAAGGATCCAGCACGCCGCCGCTGTGGGAAGGCTCCCGGAACTCAACCCCCTGACTGTCTTCCTGCTGCCTCTGATTTATTTGGTTGGTTTGGGTTTTGTATTTTTTTTCTTTCCATGTAGGTTTTGATAGAGCATCTTTGATTAGTGGCTTCTTGTGCTAAGAATGGTCCAGATGTGAATTGCTGCTCCCTGCTCTCCGTTCCCTCCCTCACACTCCTTCAAGGGTCGTGTGGCCAAGCTCACAGGGAAGGAAGAGCCGCAGCTGGCGCCGGGTGAACCAGCTGGCGCCGGGTGAACCCGGAGCAGAGCAGAGGGGAGTGGAGAGACCAGGCCCCGCGTCCGCATCCGCCTCTCTCACCCAGTTATCCTGTCCTCTCAAAGCCATCCAACCTCAGCAGGTCTCCTGGGGCCCTGCCCCCTAAATAGCTCTGACTCCAGCCCCAACTCCCTCTCAGGCTGGGCTCCCGACACCCTCCCCCTCCCACATGCTGTGACTGCCTGCAGGGAGACCAGCACTATGTTTAGTGGAGATCTTTCATCTCTCTGTGTCGCTGTCCCCTCCTGCCCTAGACCATCCTCATGGCCCAGGAGACCCCTCCACCAACCCAGGTGGCCTCCCTTCCTCACTAATGCATCCCTGTCTTCTCTGAGCCTGAGGTCATGGGCAGAGAGGTGGGATGAGCGTGTGTGTGTGTGTATACACGTGTGTGTACACGTGTGTGTGAGTGCATGTGGTTTGCCATCCTATTCTAAAGGATTATGAGCCCAGTGACACCTTCTGTCTGCTGTCTGGGTGTAATTCTGGGTTACAGGAAGTGCTTATTTATGTTCCAGGTTGGGTTGGGCCAGGGTGGGTGATCAGTCCTTTCGTAGGGCAGGACCTGCAGAGGGTGACACTGGCTGGGCCTAGGACACTCCTCGGGGAAAGCACTGCAGGAGGAACTGGTTTCCATACTGCAGGGGATCTGCACTTTTGTTTGTTTTTGACCAAAAAAAATCCGAAGGACAAAGGATATAGCCAAGCCTCTGACACCTAGAGGTTCCTAGAAGTCCCAAACCTGTCCCATGGCCCCAGCCGGGATGTGAGCCCCTCGTCTGAGCCCCTGAGGGGACGGGGCTGGAGTTGGTCACAGATGTCGTTTTACTGCCTGTGTGCACTGCCTGTGGGCTTCTTTACCTCTCACCCTCATTTAAGTGGGGCCTCAGCGCCTGATGCTGTGAGGCAGGGTTTCCCTGGCAGGGCAGGCAGAAAAACCAGTGCCCTCTAAGCCTTTGGGCTGCAGGAAGGTGCTCGTTCCAGTGCCCCTGCAGAAACATGGCTTTCTCCAGCCTGGGGGCAGCTTCCTTGCCCTTACGGTGCTTCGGCAGGTGGGGTCTTGGTATCGGGGGCCCCATCGCCTGGAAGCGCCAAAGCCCCTGGCACCCCATGCTGTGCCATCTTCCCAGGGGCCTCAGGCAGGCACTGTGGTGGCAGTGGGTCCGACCCAGCAGGCGCTCCCAGCCTCCTCTTCCTGCACTGGGTACCAGCTCTACCTCCCCCACGGGGCAAGGCCCCAGCTTCCCAGCCCAGCACCCTCTGTCCCCTTGCACCAGTCTCTCAGGCTGGGCCACCCTTGCCCTCCTCCTAGCACCCACCCAGGTGACAGGCCCACGCAGACCACGTCTCTTTGGGAAAGACTGAGTCTGTCTTAGCCCTTCCAGCCCCTTGGCACACGCAGGCTGCCAGGCTCCTCCGCAGCGCTTTGGGCCAAGAGACCAGCCCCGCGGTGTCTGGAAATCCGAAGAAAATGTGTGTTCAGGAACATGACGCCGGCCGGGGCTTCGGCCCGGCTCAGTCTCGTCTCAAATCTAGGCATTTTTGCTTCAATTTTATTTTTTTTAAAAGAAAACAAAAACCTGCACTAATTTACCTGGTTTCGTAGGAAAACTTTTTTTTTATTTTTTACATTTTTTGGTGTCTGTTTGTATTGAATAATTTGCTACATTTGTAAAATGTAAGAGGTATATATAATATATGTATATTTCTAACGTAAGAAACGTAATTTTTTTCTTTTCAAGAGTTTTTTCTTAAAAAGAGGAGAGAAACCAATATTTTTTCAGGAAAAAACAAACTTTAAAATAAAAAAAGAGGAGAATAAAGCCTTTTTCTCCCCTTTCCCCATCCTGTCTATCCCTCTTTCCCAGGAACAAGTCGAAGGTGGGTTATCTTGTAAAGAATGTACACTGTCAGTCCAGAATGGTGTCTTTTTCTCAATGCAGTGACTCTAGAATCTCTAGTTTTTTCCCTAGGGACGGGAAGGGGACATTGAGGCAAGCGTGGAGAGGGGCCAGGGGAGCAGGGTAATAACCTTTTTTTTCTTTAGTGAAGGAGGAATACAATCAAGCATTTTGTATTCAGAATGTTGTGCAATATTTTGGAATGGAACATTGGTGTGTTTAGAGATTTAGTTTAAAAACAACAAAAAAGATTGATCAAATCTGTACAGTTTATATTGTTCCAGATTTTTTTAAGTTTGTATTAAAAGCATGAATATATAATAACCCTCTGCTTGTTCCTAGTTTGTTGTGATTCTGGGGTCCCCTTCAGGATAGAGAAGACAGGCAGCCCAGTCCCTGTCTGCCAGGGGATGATTAGCAATGCTCACAGTGACCAAGTCTGGGGTGGACAGAATTGACCCTGTAGCCTTTCAGCGCCACACCCTGTCCTTTGCACTTTCGAGCTAGGTTCCTTAAGGGGCCGATTTCCTGGATCTCTCAGCCACTGCCTCCCTTGCCATCTGAGCCACCCAAGGCGCTGGCTGAGCTGGGCCCAGGGTACTTGCAGGTGTTTGTGAATCTTATGTTAACCTTTGGGGTTTAACCACCAGAATATAGAGTTGCCTCCGTCTGGAAGCCGAGAGATGGGCCCGAGTTAGACTGGCTGCCTAAGCCCAGAAACAGTGCACACTGGGCTGGGGGTCTAACCAGTGTCTGGCACCGTTTCCCCAATCCGTGGCCTGCAGTAGTGTCAGAGAACAAGTGCCCACTATCAGTCACCTTGTGTTAAACTTGACACAGCTGCGCTCACGGCCCTGGGGGAGCAACTCCTCCGACCTGGGACAGGTGAGACCCAGGGCTCGAGGGGCAACAAAAGGCCCAATGTGAGAGTTAGGAGCCTTTGAGCCCGGTGTCAACCTCTGGACAGTCCCCAGAGCCTTGGCCAGGACACAAGGCCACTTGGAGTCTCGCCTTCCTCCTCAACAGCAAGTGGCCCAGCCTGCTCCGTGTCTGTGCCCCACAGCCAGGGTGGGGTGACACCTCACCTGCTTCTCACAAGCGTGACTGGAGTCATGTGCTGAGCACTGTCATCGTCACCTGCTGCCATGTGCTGTCACACAGATGTGAAGGGCCGGGGTGATGCTTGTCCTCCACACAGCTGATTCACTTCTACATTCAGCCTCCGTCCTTCTCCAGGTATATCCAACTCTGAAGAGGCACAGCAAAAAGCTCCAAGGGGCGAGGGGGTGCCTGTGGCCTCTGCCCTGCTGGAGGGGAAGATACAGTTTTCTGGTAGGCTCAGAGTTCCCGGCAGCAGCACCTCTTTCTGTCCCATTTCCCAAAAATCCTCGCTTATCTTCTTTGGGGTATAAGGTGAGGCAGGGTCTCTGTATGTAGACCAAGCTGATCTTGAACTCACTTGACAGCCCATGCTGGCCACAAACTGTGATCCTCCTGCCTCAGCCTCCCAGGTGCTGAGAAACCAGTAAGCACCATGGCACCCTACTCATTTAAGTTCCTTTTTTTCTTGGTACTGGAAATCAAACTCAAAACCTTACACTTGCCAGGCAGGTGCTTGTGCCATTGAGCTAAATCCCCAGCCACTCGTTTATGTTCTTGACAAACCTCTCCTGTACATTGAGCTGCCCTGGGAACACAGGTAGGAAAGCAATTTCAGGATAGCTCTGCACCAGGGACCTGGGTACCCCCAGATCTGAGCTTCCTGGAGGTGGAGAGAATGCGAGGAGAAAAGCAAGGCAGTGTCCCTCCTCAGGGAACCTGGGGTCCACTGAAGAGAGATGGTCCTCTTGCTAGAATCACAGCATCCAGGGCCAGGTGTGGTGGTGCACGCCTGTCATCTCAGCATGCGGGAGGTTGAGGCAAGACCATTACCTGAGTTCAAGGCCTGCCTAAACTGCATAGCAAAGCAGCCCTCCTCCTTTATTTTTCTCAAGCAAAAGAAAAAGAACAAAAAAAGCATAACCCCCAATCCCACCCCTGCCACTTCCCAGCTGGGGGACCTTGAGCAAGTCACCTCACTGCCTTTGGGACCCAAGTTCCCACACTTCGTAAACGGGGCTAATAAATTACACCTCCTGGCAAAAATAAAATGAGTGGGAAATGCTGAGTGCACAAGTTGTCTGGTGTAAACAAACAATGGCAAGTGGTATTTCCTTCCCTTTTTTTTTTTTTTTTCTTCGACTGAGACAGGGCTCCCTATGTGGTTCAGGCTGGCCTTGAGCTCATTTTGTAGCCCAGGCTGGTCCCCAACTTGCAATCATCCTCCTGCCTCAGCCTCCCAAGTGCTGGGATTACAGCATGGCCACTATGCCCTGCTATAAGCAGCATTTTTATCATCCTGGTCATTATTGTCCAGCCCCAGTGCCAGCAGCCAGCCTAGCCCAGCAGCTTCCTGGCTTCAATAAACAGGCCAAACCCCAAGCTTACCAGCACCAGGGCCAGGTAGGGCGGAAAAGGAAATCCAGGCGGGCAGAGCCTTTACTGCTTCTCCCTGGCATCTGCCTGCCAGGAGCTCCACAGCTCTCATCTCCAGGGACCAGCCTCCCACCTCGGGAGGAGGCAGACCCCTCTACATGTGTCCCCAAAATCTCTGGGAGTTTCTGCCTGGAGAAGGAGAGGCAAACTCTGCAGTGGGAATCAGTGTTTCTAAACCCAGGGTCTCACTGTCTCCCCATGAAGGAGCCCAGGGTGGAGGGGAACCCACCCTCCTCTCCCTGGGCCTGCCAGCCAGACTGGCCCAGTATATCCTGCACCCAGACCGGAAGTCCCCAGCCAGACTGGCCAGTATATCCTGCACCCAGACCGGAAGTCCCCAGGCCCTGTTGTTCACCTGGAGAATTTCACTGCCAGCAAGAGAAGTGGGTGCCAGGTCATGGAGGCTAATTCATTGTGTGACCTTGAAGCTCTCTCCACATCTGTCCCTGGGTACCAGAGGAAAAGGACAGCGGGGCTGTCCAGCGAGGCCATGTGTGCTGCTCCCCTGGCCAGCACCTCTTCTGCTCCTGCCCTGGGAAGGAGCGCCAGGAGGACCCTGCTCAGTGGTACCTTTGCCAGGGAGGAGGGCATTAAAATGACAGACAGGCTGACCCTGCCGGAGGCCCTCAGGAAAGAACCTCATCAAACTCCTATAGGTTTCCTGGTGTGATGGCTCACTCCTGTAATCCCAGCACTGCGGAGGCTGAGGCAGGAGGATCATTGTGAGCTTGAGACCAGCCTGGGCTACAAAGTGCACTTAAGGCCAGCCTGAATTGCACAGCGAGACCCTGTTTAAAACAAAACAAAAAAACAAAACAAAAAAAACTGCTGCAGGTCTAGGGCAGGCCAAGAAGTCCAGGCCTGCTCCAGGGAAAAGGCCTGACAGGTGCCGAGACTTCCGGGTCCTCTTGCAGCTCTGCCCTCATTGCCTTCCTTCCGCATTGCACGCTCAGCATTCAACATGGAGCCCAGGGGCCAGGACACAGTTGGCAGTAGTGTTTGTCCCACTGCACGCCGAGGTCCTGGACTCTATCCTCACTGCAAGGAAAAAAATAAAGCAACATGGAGCCCCCATAAATGCTGACACTGTTCTAGGCAGAACAAAGTCCCCACTCTCTGATTCAAGATTCTGTTGACAGAAACAAATGAGAAAATGTCATGTGGTAAGGATGTGCCACTAAAAAGCTTACAGTCAAGGGGGGTATGGTAGTGCATGCCTATAATTCCAGCAATCAGAGGCTGAGGCAGGAGGATCTCAAGTTTAAGCCAACCAGGACTACCTAAGGAGACCCTGCCTAAAAACAAACAAAGAAATGAAACAAGGGCTGGGGATTTAGCTCAGCGGCATAAGTGCCTGCCTTGCAAAGTGTGCAGTCGTGAGTTCGATCCCTGGTACCGATAAAAAAAGAAAAAGACAAAAAAAAGAAAAGAAAAAAAAGCAGTGAAACAAAAGGCCAGGCATGGTGGTGCACACCTGTGATCCCAGCACTCAGAAGGCTGAGGTAGGAAGATCGAAGTGAGTTCAAGACCAGCCTGAACTGCACAGTGAAACCCCCTCTCAAAAAGACAATAAATTAAAAATAAGACAATGACAACCAATGATGGTAGCTGGTGACCAAGTGACTCTTGTAGTAATCAAGCCAGGAAAGACCTTCCTGACTAAGGGGCTTTCAACTAGAGATCCACTGAATTCCATGATCCCTTCACAGATGTTGAACAGAGAGCAGCAGAGGGCCAGGGGGACCAGATTCATCAAACGGTAAAAGCCAGGAACAAACTCCAGTCCTCAGGTAGTGGCACAAAGTGACCTTGAAGAGGCCCTACGGTCACATGACAGGCCCTGCAGCCCAGATTTTTTTTTAAGTGCTTCTGCATGTTAGGTAACCATTCTACCACTGAGCAGTCCTAGAGCTGGGACTTGATCTTACCCTAGGAGAGCTTTCTCTCACACATTCAATCAAAAACCTTCCCCTGCATGCCACACCCCCACTTCCTTTGTCCTGCAGCCCTCATATATGCTAAGGAACCACATCCCCACCACTTTTCTAAATCTTACTTTGAGACAGGGTCTCACTAGGGTGTCCAGGCTGACTTTTAACTTGAGGTTTCTCTTGCCTCTGCCTCCTAAGTAGCTGAGATTACAGGTTTTTGCCCCCACACCTGGCAGGTCAGACATGTAAAACTCCAAAGTATAGAACCTTTCCAAGAAAGCTGAAGAGAGTTCTGTGGTCTTGCTGAGGCAAAGATTTCATAGACATCCTCTGAAGCCACGATCCACAAGAGAAAAATGGAGAGATTGATGTCAGCAAAATGAAGAACTTGTCCTAGGGAGGCACTGTTAAAAGAATGAAAGGATAAACATAGACAGAGAAAATATTCCAGACCATGCATTTTAGAACTTGTGTATGAAGAACTGTCACTGGACTGGCACCATGGAGCAAGCATGTAACCCAGCTACCTGGTGGCTGAGGCAGGAAGGGTTGATAATTCATAGTTTGAGCCCAGCCAGAGTCACTCACCCAGACCTTGTCTCAAAATAAAAAATAAAACCAGCCAGGGATGTAGCTCATTGACAGAGTGCTGGGTCCTGGGTCCCTTCCCCAGTAATGCAAAATAAAGAAGAGAAGGGAGGAAGAGTGGAGGAAGGAGACAGCCCATGTGGACATGATGGCCTTGGGGACACCTGAGGTGAAGCAGCAGAGGGCTGCGTCAGAGCCCCTTCCTCTAGAAAGCAGGGCCGGGAGCCAGGGAGGGCTTCTCTGGGAGGTGGCAGTTAAACGAAGCCTTGGACAGGAGAGGAGCTACACCCCTTCCCCATTAGGTTGCCCCACCTCCCCTGGCCCGCAGCCCCTCTTATTGGCACCGAGGAGCCTCTGCCCCAGCTGTGTGACTGTGGGAGCTCCCCTCTCCGTGCAGCTTGGCTTTCCATCTGTGATGCACGGGAGCAAGGCCACGCCCAGCTCCCAGGCGCAGGTCCACCCAGCTGGCTCTCACTGTGGATCCGCCAAGGGCCGAAAAGGAGGTGTCTCAGGAGCCTGGCAGGCTGCCCCCAAGAGGCACCTGGAAGCCTGACCCATGGACTTGGATCCCCACGGAGTCAAGCAAGGCTGGAAGGTGGACATTAATTAGCCCAGCCTCTGCAAGGGCAGCTCTGGACTCTAGTCAAAGCCAGCGCTGGGGACAGACAAGCTTGGCTCACAGCCCAGGTGCGGGGCAGGTCAGTGCCATGCTGGAGGGGGGCACTAGGACCTCTCTCTGCACACAATGTCCTGGACTGTGGCCCAGCTTGGCAGCTGACAGGGAACAGTGGCTGGCAGAGGGAATGGGCAGCCAGCCGATTGGGTGGAGGGGAGTGGTGTGGACAAAGGGATTATCCTTACAGCCTGTCCTGCCACCCTGGGCGGAGAGGGCCAGCTGGAGGCAGGGGTGCTGGCCCTCCGCAGCACCTCAGCAGTCTCTCTCCGCTTCCTGCCTTCCTCGATCTATATCACCAACAACACCCGTCATCTGGGCTAAATCCTGTCAGAGTGCAGACAGTGAAATGCTGGCCTGGCCAGGCCTGGCAGCCCACACCTGGGCTACATAATGAGTGCATGGCCAGCCTACACTGCATAGTGAGGCACTGTCTCAGACAAAAAAAAAAAAAAGGAGGCACACACACACACACACACACACACACACACACAAAAGCTGACCTGGCTTTCACTGGCTGTGTGACCTTAGGTAGGTCACAGCCTTTTTTTTTTTTTTCTTTCCTTTTTTTTTTTAAGAAAGGATTTTACTAGATTGCCAAATTGCCCAGGTTGGGGTCCAATTTGTGATCCTCCTGCCTCAGTCTCCCGTAGTGCCAGCTCATGACTCATTCTGGGAGAGTCCAGTACTCAGCTCCTTTGCTCATGAGAGAAATATTTATGGAGGGCAATAAAGTTTGGGCCCCTTCACAGGGGCCCAGGGTCACACGAGAACAGGATAGTCACCTACAAGGCGTGCGGCTGGACGCGGGTGGCTCCTGGTTTCCTTTTTGTGTTTTTGTGCAGTGCCAGGGGTGGAATCCTGGGCTGTGCTCTGCCCCTGATAAAAGGACACTAATTCTCAGCATGCTTGTTTGGAGATAAGAGGAGCACACAGCCCAGGGCTCAGAGTCCAGGGGTAAGCTGGAGAGGCCACAGTGACATTCATATCCTGCTGGTGGCCTAAGCAGGAAGCAAGGGAAACAGGTATGACTGTCCCCAACCTGAGTGATGCCTCCCTCATCCCACAACTTATTTTTCTCTCTCTCTCTCTCTTTTTTTTTTTTTTTTTTTGTCTTTTTCCTTTTTATCAGTACTGGGGATCGAACTCATGACTGCCTGCTTGCAAGGCAGGCGCTTATGCTGCTGAGCTAAATCCCCAGCCCCTCTTTTCTCTTTTTTTCTGCATCTCATTTTTGTTTTCTTGGTTGTTTTGAGACAGCGTCGCCTCCATATGAGGTCCAGGTTGGCTCTGAATGCACCATGTAGCCCAGGCTAGCCCCAAAGATCCTCCTGCCTCAGCCTTGGCCTCCCAAGTGGTGGGTTATAGCTGTGGGCCACGGCAACCATTGCAGGGCCTGCTACTTGGTGTTTAAAACAGATGACAAAAAATAAATAAATAAGGGGCTGGGGATTTAGCTCAGCGGCATAAGCACCTGCCTTGCAAGCAGGCGGTCGTGAGTTCGATCCCCAGTACCGATAAAAATGAAAAAGACAAAAATAAATAAATAAATAAAACTGGTGACAGAGCCAGGTGTGGCACATACCCGTGATCCCAGCACTTGGGAGGCTGAGGCAAGAGGCCTGCTCTGAGTACAACACCAGCCTGGTGGACTACATAGTGAGTTCAAGGCCAGCCTGAACTACATAGGAAGACCAACACTGCCTCAAAAAAACAGGTGACAGATGGGCAACTAACACCGGACAGGACAGCAGGAAACTTTCCAAGGCTTCCAATAGGGAAACCTCTCCTATTGCCCAGTCCCTGGGCACCAGCTCTATCTGTAACTGCAGCCAGCCCACAGGGCAGGCAGACTACTGAGAGCGAAGGCCAAGTCCCCAGAGAGCTGACTGGCCAAAGGGATCCTGGCAGCCAGCGCCTGGCCAGCTCCTGCACAGTGCCAGGACGGAGAGAGGCAGGAGCTCTCCTGGTTAGGTGCCTAAGTGATCACCACCTGACAGGGCTGTCCTTCCGGGACACCAGAGGGGAGAACCATTTCACAAGTGGCTACACTGAGGCTCGGAGAGGTCATCTACCCAAGGTCACCCAGAGACAGGAGAGGGCACAGCCGTCAGGGGTTCCCGGGGGTTAGTGTATGTAATCTGAACGTGTGTGTGCGCATGTGCGTGTAAGTGTATAACGTAACTGGCATGGGGTGGGACTTCCCCTCCCGCAGAGCGTGGTGCCCCTGACATAGGAAACCCCCCTCCGCAGCTACCAGTGCTGGTGCTGGGGCTGGGCAGTGGGTGACAGTTGCCCTGCAACCGGGCTCAGCAGTGACGCTGGAGCCCCTGTCCCTCCCCAGAATTCCCGGCTCTTGGGGATCACCTGGCATGGCCTGCAGCCCCTCTGCGGCTTGCCCGGTCTGAGGTGGAGGGGCCTCGCCCTTGGGGCAGGAGGAGAGGAGGCAGGTGGCTGATAAGGAGACCCATTTTGGGCCACACCCTTTAAGACCTTTGCTTTCCTCCTGGCAAAGTCCTGGCCTCCGGGATACAGGGTATCACTGGGACCAAGGAAAGGACATAGAAGCAAGACCCGTACTAGGTGAGGCACAGAGAGACAAAATCCTGGCCTTGTCCTGGAAGGCGCAGGAAGAGAGGCGGCAACAAACCTGACAGTCACAAGGGTTTTTTTTGTTTGTTTGTTGTAATCTTTTTTATCGGTACCGGGGATTGGAACTCACCACCGACCGCCTGCTTGCAAGGCAGGTGCTTATGCCGCTGAGCTAAATCCCTAGCCCCGACACTCACAGTTTTAACCCTGCTCAGATGGCTCAGGGCCAGCTCCCGGCTGAAGGCTGTAGGATGAATAGGAGTTTTCTGGGCAAATACAAGAAGGGTCATTTCAGGCGCGGAACAGCTTGTTCAGCGGCTCTGGAGCCTAAAATAGCAATCGCTTTAAGGACCTGGAAGCGCTGGGGCAAGGCTGGAGCTGGGGCCTAGTGGCTCAGAAGAAGTGGGGGGAGGCTTTTGGACTTTGTTCTGAGCTCAGGGGGGAGGCAGGAGGGGACAGCAGAGGCACGGTGCAAGGCTCCTCCCACTCCCTTGTGGCCCACACACCGTACCCAGTCTCTGCCTTAGCTCTGGTCCTGCTTCTCTCCTTCCCTCCCTCCCATCAGCACTGGTCCCAGCTGGCCCTGTTGCGTTTGCTGAGTGGCCTGGAGCCAACCACTTTATCCCTCTGCGGCTCCATTTTCTCTGAGAAATAAAGGATGCTCAGCCAAGCATGGTGGCACACACCTGTAATCCCAGCACTTGCGGGAGGCTGAGGCAGGAGCATTGCCTGAAGTTTGAGGCCAGCTTGGGCTCCGCTCTGAGTTCCAGATCAGCCTCACCTGCACAGCAGACTCTATCTCAAAAACCAAAGTAGCAACAAAATGGAGTTTGTCCTTGCCTTATTCTTCCTCGCTAGGCTCAGAGAGGAACAGAGGCCGTGGGCAACGTAGGGTCAAGCATTTGCTCCCTTGGTGTCCCCTGCCTCTGTCCAGCACTCCAAAAAAAGGCCTCCCCGCCATGACCAGAACCACCCAGAGGGTAAGTATGTCTCAGTTTCCTTATGCAGAATGAAATGTCCCCAAGTTCGGGGGGAGGGTGGCTGGCAGGCCCTTGGCCCCAGGACAACTCAGGTTGGCTTCACCTCCTGCAGACAGAAAGGGCAGTCCTCTCTGCCTTTCCTTCGACAGGTCCCCCCTGTAACTCCCAGCCCCTGCCAGGGACGTCCTGTGCCCCAGTGAAGTCACCAGGCCCTGGGAGCTGAGGCAGTAGCTGACAGGTTTATTTTTAAACTCTCCGGCCTTGCCAGCTCCCCGCCCCCACCTCACTCTGTCTAAGACCATGGGGTGCGGGCCAGGGGCTGTGCCTCACTGGACCCCCAGACTCAAGGGAGACAGACAGCCAATTCTGATGCCCAGAGAGCAAAGCGCTTGTGCGGGGTCCCACAGCTGGCCAGGGTTGGGGTCATCACGCAGACTGAAGACCTCTGTAACCCCAGGCGGGGCCTTGTTTGGAGCAGTTGCCAAAGCCTGATTTGAATTCTTGTTGGTTATTTGAGACAGAGTCTTGTTCTGTGACCCAGGCTGGCCTCAAACTTATGATCTTTCTGCCTCAGCCTTCTGAGTACTGGGATTATAGTTGTGTGCCACTAGGACTGATTTTGGATATTTTTTTTATTATTTATTATTTATTTATTTATTTATTTTTTTGTCTTTTTCCTTTTTATCGGTACCAGGGATCGAACTCACGACTGCCTGCTTGCAAGGCAGGTGCTTATGCCACTGAGCTAAATCCCCAGCCCCTGGATATTTTTTTTAAATTTTATTATACCGGGGATTGAACTCATGATCTCGAGTTTGCCAGGCAGGTGTTTATGCTGCTGAACTAAATCCCTGGCTTTCTAAAAAAAAAATTTTTTTTTTAATTTTTTTAAGCCAGTCAAATTTAGCAGTGGGTGGGGGGTAGTATACCAACTTTAGTGACACTAATGTTAATAAGTTCTGATAACCCACTGCCATCGGACCAGCCTTTTTTTTTTTTTAATTTTAAAGAGGGTAAAACAAAACAGAACTAAGCAGATCAGAAGAAAACGTTAAGTAACATAGCATTTCAAAGCAAGATAACAGGAGATCAACAGTGGCTACCATAATGTCTCTTGTTTTCTTCGAAATAGTTGTCTGTATCTTCACACACAATGAATTCATATAAAACAAAACAATTGGATTAATTTTCAAGGGTTTTTTTTTTTTTTTTTTGGTGGTGGTATTAGCAATTGAACCCAGAGCCTTTGCACTAAACTACACCCTAGCCTTTTTCATATGGATTTTTTGTTTTGTTTTGTTTTGTTTTTTGTCTTGCCTCAGCCTTCTGAGTGCTGGGATTACAGGCAGGCACCACCATGCCTGGCTACCAGTCCTGTTTTTTTTTAATTTTGTATTTTGATACAGGGTCTCAATAAGTCCCTAAACTGCCTAGATTGGGCTTGGACTTTCACTCTTCCTGCCTCAGTCTCCCAGCATCCTGGGATTATTAGCCATGTGTGATTTGAGGCAGGGTGTTGCTATCTAGCCCCAGCTGTGTGCCCGGTTTTTAAACTCCGTTTCTTGACATTTCAGCTTGGTGCTGCACACGGAATAAGGGCAGACACCTAGATGCTGCCAGAGTCCACCCTGTGGCCCCGTAACTGGTGACCTTGTGCAAGTCTTTTCCTCTCCCTGCAAGGATGGGACTCTCAGGGAAGGATCTCAGGGAGTACCTGGGGAGGACTGAGCACCAGCACTGGGCTTGACATTCAGGGAGTGCTTAACCAATAGCAGATTCTGCCATCATTCTCATGTCCTGCTGAAGGTACTCTTCTGGCGGCTACCTTGACCATCCATGCAACACAGGCCCCGCCCCCAAGTGGCTCAGAGTGCAGAGATGCAGAGGCAGCTGTGGGAGACCGTGGTTAAGCCAGGAGAATCAAGGATCAAAAGTTTGAGCCCAGTCTGCGCAATTTACCAACTTAGTGTAAAACTTTGTCCAAATAAAATAAAAATTTAAAAGAGGCTGAGGATGTAATTCAGTGCTAAGGTACAGTGTCAGTACAGTGTCAGCCCTGTCACTCTTTACCCTGTGGCAGTGACAGTCCACAGGGGCTTTGATGGGTGGTAGCTGCCCGGCTCCTCAGGGAAGAAGAACTTAGGGTGGGGGGCTGAATGCAAATATCATGCAAATAAAGAACTACTACGGGACAGGGAGAGAGAAGATGGCGCACTCAGGGCCTGGAGGGGAGTTACCTGCTGCTCCCATGGGCACTGTCCTCACCGCCGACTGAGCAGATGGCCTGCTCTGGCGACTGGCTTGCTGCTGAAAGCCCCTGGCACCCTGGTGAGAGGGTCCCCAGGTATGGATGCACACACCGAGACTCCTTCTCTGACCCTGCCACCCACGGGTGCCCCAGACACACTCAAACACAGACACACAGGCATTTCAGGTCACTGCCTTGGGGAAGTGAGGCCCAGAGCAGGATGCTAGGGTCCCAGGGGAGCCCTGGCTTCCTGTCCTTCTGCCTCATCTTGACCCACATAGCCCCCCAGGAAAGCCCCCCAAAAGCCCCTCGGCCTTACTAATACAACAGGTCTACTTTGACACCCCACACAGAGGGCTGGGGATTTAGCTCAGTGGCATAAGCACCTGCCTTGTAAGCAGGTGGTCATGAGTTCAATCCCCGGTACCAATAAAAAGGAAAAAGACAAAAAACAAACAAACAAACCACATTGGCAGGGTGCCAAGTTGGGGTTGAATTTGGATCCTCTTGCCTCAGCCTCTCAGAGTGCTGGGATTACAAGTTCTGCCCATTTTTTTTTTTTTAAGCCAGTCAAATTTAGCAGTGGGGAGTGGTACACCAACTTTAGTGACACTAATGTTAATAAGTTCTGATAACCCACTGCCATCGGACCAGCCTATGCCCATTTTTTTTGACAGAAGAGGAAACTGAGCTCAGGGCTAAGCTTGTCAAAAGCAGGCAGAGGACTGGGGAGACAGGCTACAAATGGAGGCTCAACCCACAGGCTCCGAGCTGGAGGCCTCAGCAGGACCCTCTCTGCAGACCTTTGCTCTGTTGAGCTTCTTTCCTGCCACCCTCTGCTACCTTTGAATTCTCTCCCTCTGGGAACAGGGCGGGGAGCAGCAGCCCCTCACTCCCAGGCGCTGCAGGCACTCTAGGTTGCATCTGCCAGTAGCCCTGGGAGGCAAGCAGGGCAGGGATTGGGTTAGCTGGTGCCCCACTGCGCCACCTGGCATGGAAGGCTGGGGAGCTTTGCTGAGAGGACAGATCAGGAGGCCACCGAGGTCACTCCCCAGGGCATGCCAGTAGTGCCACCTGGTGGTTACATGGCCCTCCTGCCACAACCGTACCTGGTGCTGTCCTCCCCTGCCCCAGGGTTCCTTAGACATTTAGTGAGCATCTATTCTGTGCCGGATCCAGGCCCAGGTTCCAGAAGGGAGGCCAAGGAAATGTGAGGGGGACAGGCCAGGTGGAGAGCTCTGCGCTGGCAGTTGATGCAGGGCTGTGATTTCAGCACTCTAGGAAGCTAACAAAGGAGGTACTGTGTTCAGTCAAACCCAGCCCAGACAACTTAGCATCTTTAGCAAGGTCTTATCTCAAAACAAATAATAATAATAATAAAAGTAAGTAAGTAAGTGCTGGGGTGTAGCTCAGGGCGAAGGCTCAAGTTTCAATCCCAGCACCTGATAAATGGTGGTGCTCTTTCCTCTGAAGGGAAGATGCAGTAGCAGCAGGTTTGGAGGAGACTTGGCGCTGTCTTTGGCAAACTAAGGCCAAGCTACTGTATGGTATCTGGGTGTGGTGGCACTCAAGGCAGAGGTGGGAGGATCTCTGTGAGTTCCAGACCAGCCTGGGTTACAGTGAGGTCAAGGCCAGTCTGAACTACATACAGGTGGAGGTGCCAAGCAGGCAGGTGGACACAGGAACCAGGCCCGGGGTAGAGGTGCAGGCTGGGGAGACAGATTTGGAGGTGGTCAGGGTTGGCAGAGACTCCCGCTCCACAGCTGGGTGCATCACCCAGGAGCAAGTCTAGAGTGCCCATGCTCCAGGGTGAAGCCCAGGACCCCTGAGCTTGGAGTGGGAGATGGAGGTGGCAGAAGAGGAGGCAGAATGGGAGCAGCCCAGAGGAAGGAGGCCCTGGAGCCCGGGGAAGGGAGTTTCCTGAGGGAGACTGGATGACCCAGCTGATCTGGAGACTCTGAAGGTGGCTTCTACCCAGCGACATCAGAGGCTCAAAGTCTGGCTGGAGGGGCAGGGGGCCCCTGAGGAGACCAAGTAGAGGCTAAAAATGTGGACTGCACTTCTGAGGGGTTTGCTGGAGGGCAGTGGGGGCCCAGGTGGTTGGTATTTTAATTTTTCAGGATTGAAGTTTTCTTTTTTGGATGGTATTAGGGCTTGAATCCAGAGGGCTCTGCACTGAGCTACATCCTCAATCATTTTGGATTTTTTTAAAATTTTGAGGCAGGACCCACTAAATCACTAAATTGCCTATGTGGGACTTGTAAAATACTTGCAATCCTCCCGCCTCAGCCTCCCAGAGTACAGGGGTTACAGGTTCACACCACCTGATCTGGTAGGATTAGAGATTTTCCAACCTGTGCATGGGATGGAGAGGGACTGATGACTCTGGAGGCAACAGGGCAGTGTCCTTCCACAGGTAACAATGACAGGATGGGCAATGCTGGGGACTGCTCAAATTTAGCGGGGGGGGGGGGGGGGGGAGACACAAGGCACTTTGGCCTGCCTGCCCCACTGCCTGGCCCTGTCTACTCTGCTCGGGATTCCTGAATCTGTGATTCTTTCTTTTCCTTTGCTTGTATTTCTTTTTGTCAGTGCATGTTTGTAGTACATGGGAGGTGGAACATGTACATAACACAGCTTGATTCTTTTTATACCCTTACCCCTCACCACCGTTTTCTTTTCTGTGAACCCAGGGCCTACATACTGAGCTACACATCCAGCCCTTTTCATATAATGGGACATGGTCTTGCCAAGTCACCAAGCTGCCCAGGCTTGACTTGAATGTGAGAGAATTCCGCCTCAGCCTCCCAAAGTACAATGATTACAGGAAGGCACCAGCATGCTCTCTCTGAGCCCCATATTTCTGTGTGCCCACTGGTAGTTCTTTTCCCTCTCTGTGTCTCTTTCACATCCATTCAGGAGGGCCCAGATGTGACATCTTCTAAGGTCCTTGTCACTGAAGGCCTCTGACTCTGGCATCCAAGAGGCTAGGACATGGCATGAGGGATGGAGGGCAGGGAGGAGGGCAGGCCTGAGGCTCTGGCCCCAGCTGGGTGAGTGGGACCAGGGAGAGGCTCAGGGGCAGACCCAGTATGTGCTCAGGGAGGCTTTCTCTCAGCCTCAGTTTCCCTCTGTGTTCAGTGGAGTCCCCATGAAGGTCTTAGTCCAGCAGGTAGGACAAACAGTCTTTTCTTCCCACTGCTGATGGCTGGACCTGAGCACTATGCTGCTGGCCAGGTGGCTCAGGCCGTCCACCGGAAGACAGATGTCACCTTGGGCCTCTATCCTGGCTGCTTCGGCTCAGTGATTTTTTTTTTTTTTTTTTTTTTTTTTTTGTCTTTTTTGAGACGGTGTCTCACTATGCAGTTCAGGCTGGCCTTGAGCTCACTTTGTAGCCCAGGCTGGTCTCAACTCCCTATGATTCTCCTACCTCAGACTCCTGAGTGCTGGGATTACAGGCATGAGCCACCACAACCGGCTGGCTCAGTGATTTTCACTGGCCTAAAGTGGTATGTGTGTGTGGGGTGTCTTGCTGCATGGGGAGGCCCAGGCAGTGCCAGCAGTCAGTCAGGAGACAGATGGTGGAGAGAGCCAGGGTTAGCTGGTCATGCTAGTACACGCCTGCAATCCCAGCACTCTGGGAGGCTGAGGCAGGAGGATGGCAAGTTTGAAGCCAGCCAGGGCAATTCAGTGATCCTAAGATCCTATTTTAAGGGGTGTGGAGTGCATATAACTCAGAAGGCACTGGGTTCAATTCTTAATATAAAGAACTAAAGCAACCAACCAAACAAGCAAACAAACAAAACCCAAAGTCACAGCTCCAGAGCTCAGGAGTACCAGGGCCCTGGGTTTGAATCTCTGGTCTCCTATTTAGTTGATGTCACCTGAAATCTCCCTGAGCCTTGTTTCTTCCTTTGTAAACTGAGGCGGGGCCAACACAAGGATGTGAGGAGTGGTCTCCGCACATCGTGCTCTGCGATGCGGCACCAAAAGATTCTTCTGCTTGCCAGCCAGGGGGGCCCTTGGTGGCAGCCGGACCCCAGGCCAGGCTGGGAGGAGGCGGCTGGGGTGGCTCCTTGTGTGGCTGTGCCTGCAGCTTCGCAGCCTCCTGATTGGCACTTACCTAATCCTGCACGGTGGGAGGCCATGATGCGCCCAGGTGAGATGCTGAGAGAGCTGGGGCTACCACCTTGAGCCTGCTTCTCCTCTCCTCTGCTGCTCCCCCTGCTCCCCCTCTCTGCTGGCTGCTTTCCCGGATTAGCTGCTGACGTCAGGAGCTGCCAGCTGGCTTGACCTGGCACAGCTGAGGGGTGGTGTGGGAAGGCCTGTCTGGCAGCAAACGGGGTGCAGTCAAGGAAGAGGGCATCTTTGAAGCTTTGGAAATGTGTCCTCCAGGGAGTTGGGGTGGCCGGGGGACAGGAGTTAATGAGCTGCATCATGTCAGGCACACACACTTTTATCTGTATCTCCACTGCAGGGAGAGGGAAGCAGCTCAGGGAGGAGGAATATGCCCCACGCTGCATTGCCCCCACCCTAGAGACACCTCCCAAAGCTGCTAGACTAGGGGTGACACTTCAGCTTAGGGTGGTACCTTCTCCACCAGTGCCACCACACCAGCTCCCACGGGCTCATGTCCACCCAAGCCGGGTGATTCTTGAGACAGCCTTAGGAGGCCAGTGGCCTGTTTGGCAGGTAAGAAAGCAAAGTGCAAAGCGGGGAAGGGATTTGCTCAAGACCTCCCCAACTTGGTGACAGAGGTGGTATTTGAACTCAAGACTCTGACTTGAAGCCAGAGCTCCTTACAGCTTTGACTTGTTCCATGCCCCTGTGACTCCTGCAGTAGCACAGATCTCTGCTGGGAGTGACAGTGACAGTATTTGTCCACAGTGTAGGAAACACAGAGGGTAAACAAGCCCTGGCTGGCTGGGAAGACACAGCCCTCAGCTTGGCAAATCTCCGGAAAGGGTTTCTTTGGTCCTTTGGGTTGCCTGCTCACCTCTGCTCAAATCCACAGGGCCAGGGTCCCAAGGACCCAGGGATGGGGGTGGGCAAGACCTTTGCCCAAAGGTCTAACTTTTGGGGCCAAGGGTTTTGCTTCGTCTCACCTGGCTTCTTGGAGTCAGTCCCATTCCCAGCCTCAGGGACCAGAGGCTAGGGGTGTCTGGACTCCAGCAGCCTGGGTCCCCCCACAACTGTTGTCCTTGTGCATCACCACTGTGGCCTGCTGCATAGACACTGAGGCGTCTGGACCAGGGCACAAGCTGCCCAGAGGAGGACTCTGGCTCTGCACCCCGGAGACAAGCCACACATTTGTCCTCCTGGTTTCAGCTTCAGGGAAACCCACAGGGGTCTTCCCTGGTCCTGCCCACACAACTCCCCCAACTTCTCACACTTTAACACAACCCTTTTTCTCCCTAGTTCTTGGGACTGAACCCAGGTTCTTCACACTAAGCTGTACTCCCAGCCCTTTTGTAATTTTCTATTTTGAGACAAGGTCACACTAAATGACTAAATTGTACAGACTGAGCTCAAACTTGTGAACTTCTCATCTCAGCCTTCTAAGTGCTGGGGTCACAGGTGTGTGCCACCACCCCGACCTCACTTTCTACATTTGCCCACCAAACGTTTGCTTTTCTTAAGACACTGTAAGGGTAGGAACCAGAGCTGACACAAGACAGGCATGTAGTAAATATCCGCTGAATAAAATGTCCTTTTGGTGCCAATGCGAGTTGAACCCAGGGCCTTGAGCACAGCAGGCAACTCCTTTAGTACCAAGCTGTGTCCTTCAATGAAGCCACATGTGTATATGACAGCATGCTCACCTCTGCTCAAATCCACAGGGCTTTGAGGGATGCGATGTAGCACAGCTAGAGCTCACAAGGCCAGGAACCAGACCAAGGCCAGGACAGCGCTGGCCCCGAGGAGGTGGGCAGCTGGCTAGTAGGCTGTGGCAAGACCTTAATACCCTGGGGGAGCTACTGTTTAGGGAAGGTCACCTTGCCCAGTCTGGGCTTGAATTTTAGCTCCCTTGCTGTGATGTAGAGCACATCACTTTGCCTCTCTAAGCTTCAATGTTTAGTCTGCAAAGCAGCTTTTTAAAAAATTTCATCCAGGTGTGGTGGTGTACAGCTGTAATCCCAGCACTAGGGAGGCTGAGGTAGGAGGATCATTGCAAATCAAGATGAGCCTGGGGCTAAAAAGCGAACTCAAGGTCAGCCTGGACTGCATAGTGAGACCTTGTCTCAAAAGACCTAAAAAAAAAAGGCTATTTTCAGTCTTTATACTGGACATGGTATCATGTATCTAAAATCTCACCTACTCAGGAAGCTGAGGCAGTTCACAAATTTGAGGCCAGCCTGGGCAATTCAGGAAGACCCTGTCTCAAAAAATAAAAAGGAAACGGGGCAGGTGAGGCTAAAGCTCAGCGGCATAGTGCCTGCCTGGCAAGTGCAAGGTTTTGAGTTTGAGCCCCAGTACAAAATAGCAGGGGTGCAGAGGACGCAGCTCAGTGGGTAGTGCACCCCGGTTCAACCCTCAGTATGGCAGTAAGTGAATACAACAAAAACACTTGCGCTTCTACCCCGTTGTTTCCACACTTCAAATGCTCTTTCCCTTTACTAACAACCTTAGAAATGGTTCCTGGTCCCTCCACACAGGGAGCCTGGGCCTCACCGTGCAGGGTAGAGAGGCCAGGAACGGTAGTCTCAGCCGTCAGGGGAGGCTTGGTGAGGCTGAGGACATGGGCAGGACGGGGAGAACTGGGATTTGAAGGAGGCACTGCCTAGACTGGTACAGCTGAACCCTTATGGATGGAGCTCTGAATGCTCCTGGGGAGCTCAGGCCAGCCTGACAGGGACCCAGAGACACCACCCCATGCTGTTTAATCAGCAGTGACAGTGCCAGTACCTGGACCGTGGCTGCACCCATCTGTGTTGAACTGTGACTGCCTCATAACTGCAGACAGAAGATATGGCCTGAGGAAGAGACTGTCAGTTGTCAAGCGTCTGGGAAACCCTTTTCTCAGGCAGCCGACCCTCTTTCTACTAGCTGAGCAGAACAGCATTTTCTTCAGTCTAGAACAGGAATTAATTCCACCAGGTCAGGAAACTGAGACAAAATACCCGGGGTGTGTGTGTGTGTGTGTGTGTGATACTAATGAGACCAAAGTTTTCGGCTTCACTTTTAGGCTCCTAGGCCAAAACACACAGAGAGGAATCCCAGGAAGGGAGCAGGGAATGACAAGACAGTTGCAAAATTCTCATCTCAAAATATTTAATTTTGAAAAGGATACATTCCCGGCTTCCCTCCCCACATCACTCTGGCCCAACAGCAGGGACACACTCGCACACACACACATACGCAGGTAAGGCCAATGGGCTGAGTCTGCTTGTACCCTCTCCAGCTGCACAAAAGGGTCTTTTCCTTCCTCCTTCCCCCAACACGCTCAGTACAGGGGAGAGGGGCCCACTGGGGTGCCAGCTCCCAGGGGAGGACGCAGAGCCCCACACACTCTTGTCACATGCACTTAGAAAAATAAAACCAAGTGGTGTTCTGGCATCCCCAACACCAAAAGATAGCAATCTCCACCTGGAGTCATCTTCACCATTTTCTAGAAAAATTTATTGCACTTATGAACAGATGTTAAAGGAGCTAGGGTGGAGCTTTGCCATGAAAACGGGAAGCTCCATGGCCCTCTGTGTCAAGGGCCACATGGAGAGCTGCCCAGCTGGCACAAAGGAGCCTGCCCATGCCTGCCACCCTGCCATGGCCTCAGGAGTCAGGTGGCAGAGCTCTTCCTTTGGCCAGAGCAAGATTACCCAGGTCCTCCCTAGGCTGCTGGCTCTCTCTAGACATAAGGACATGTCTATATCTGGACAGACATCTCTTTTTTTCTGGTACCAGGGATTGAACTCATGACCTTGCACTTGCCAGGCAGGTGCTATGCCAGTGACTATATCCCTGGCCCTGGATAGACACTTCTCACGTGTACATTCTTGCAGTGTATTAGCTCATTCATGATTTGTCTGTTTTCAGCTGCAACAAGGCTGCCATGAAAACTGAAGACAGACACTCGCAGTGTGGACAGCTCTCCTCAGCCCCAGGCTAGCCCACCAAAAGGCCAGTGTGAGCGGCTTCTTCACACCTGCATGCTTTAGAAAACGTCAAAGACCTGCACACAGGAGCCCCTGTCTTTGGCTGTCAGCTCCATCTCTAAGACGCTGAGCAGGCACTAAGTCTTTCTAAAAGGCCTAGCTCAGGGGAAAGGACCCAGAATGTTGACCTGTGGTCAGGTTTCTTCCTGTCCCTGCCAGGCTACTGCTTCAAAGGGTTCTCCTGGGTGCCCAGCAGCGGTAATCTTTCCAAGCAAACACTTTGGGAAGGAGCCAGACCTCGTGTTTCTGGGAGGAGCAGGAGAGCCGCACAGGCAGGGGTGGGATGAGGAGAGATGTTACGCCTCTATCCCGCTCACTGGGGTTGGAACGATCCATAGACTAGCTGTCTATTCTTAAAAAAAATAAAATTGGAAAAACACAAACATTATTATCTAGCCAAAAAACAACAACAAAAGAGCTTTCCAGCTCGAGGCTTTGTCCACCAATAACAGAATGAGAACTCCCTCTGGGTGAGCAGCCAGACCAGAGGGTGAACACCGGGCGGGCGTGCGAGTGGCCCGGGCAGGACACTGACATGCTGGATGCAATGGCCCTGTGTCATCACCACAGAGTGAAAAGTGTGCACATGGTTTCTAGAGAACCATGAAGTAAAAGTCAGATGCCTAGTGGGAGGGGGAGACCTCCCTTAGCCTCAGGGACCCTTGTCAAGGGCCCCAAGAGGTGAGTGTGCAGGTCCCAGAGGTCGTGCAGTCCAGGGCTAGAGACGCTGCCTCTAATTTCAACAGCTGGTAGCAGAAGTCTTTAGATTTGGGCCCCAGGACTCTGAGCCACCATCTTAAATAAAGCCAGTGTTAAGCACAACAAAGCGCACCTGTTACCACCTCTGCTCTTCACAAAGGCTGCCTGCCCTGAGCAAACAACACAGCCATCATGAGTGCCCCAGATGACACAAAGGAGCACAGGGTGCCAGATGCTCCTCAAGTCACTGTCTGGGCAGACAATAGGACGACCCAGCTGCACTTCGAGGGGCAGTCACGGGGTGGAGAAGTCCAGGATCCAAACCTTGGTCCATACATGGCTAGCCTTGTGTGGGTGACCCCAACTCCAGGCCAAGACTGAGAGGAGTCTAGCCCTGTTAGGATGTCCCAAAACCTGTTACCCCACGAGAGCTGCACTACCACCTCAGTGGCGTCTGCAGACACCTCTGGGCATTGGAGAGGAGGAAGCTGATCAAAAACAGGGAGGAATCTTCTGCTCTCAGACAGGGAAGAACTCTGGCCTGGGCCACTGGTGAGCAGAGCAAGAAAGCCAACGGAGCTTTCCAAGAAACAGGCCCCAGGCTCATGCCCACACCAAAAGGGGCCTAGTGGCCAGGTTTCTCAACACCGTGCAGAAGCTGCACACTGAGTCCACAAAATGAAAGCTTCCTAGGTGAGGAAGGTTTTCCTTTTAATCCAAGATCTGAGAATGGTTACTGGGGAAAAGGAATAGCAGCCTACAGGCCACTATAATGGGACAAAAGAGATTCAGGTGACCTCCAGGACGGGCCTGGAGAGGAGATGCAAAGCCCTCCCTCTGCACAGGCCACCAGGGCCCAGGAACCAGCACCCTGGGAATGGCCCTCTACCGAGGTGAGCTGGAGCCCACCCCAGGCCTCCATCCTGGCTTCCGACCGCAGGCCTGAGTCACGAGACAAGAGGAGGTACAGGGCTGAGAACGGTGTGGCAGTTTCTGCTGTTGCCTCAGTCCCCAGCCACAGGTCGTGCTGAGGCCTTGCTGCCCGCCTGCACGTGCTTAACAGCAGGGCTACTGTGTCTTCCTGCCTCCAAGGAGATGGGAATGGACACTTCTCTCAAGAGACTTTCTGGGGAGGGTGAGGTGTGTGGCAGACACGCCCCAAGTGGAAATGCACCTGCTACCTGAGAAGACATAAGGGTGACGATGATCATGAGTCGGTCTGCAGAGATGGCCCTCAGCAGCCTGGACTGAAGACTGAGGGGAGTCGGGGAAGCCTGAGCGGCCCGTGAAGGAGAGACACATACTCTGGAGGTCCCCTCTGATGCAGCCAGGACATCCGGGAACAGCAACGTGGGGTGTGCCCCCTGCGCAGAGTCTCTCGTGTTCCCCATTGTGGGAGGCTGCCCCCAGGAAGTCGTCTGGTGTGCTGGCCAGGTAATAATGAAGCTGAGACGTGAATACACCTGGAGCACGGGCACTGCCATGCGCCCACGACGAGTCCTAAGTCTCCACGCATGTGTGGGGTTCTGGGAGCCCCAAGGCAGAAGTCTGAGGGGCTGGGAGTGCCCCGCCTGGGCGGGGGCACGGGTTACAAGGGCCCATACTTGGTCTCATACTTGGACACGATGGTCTTGCACTTGCCCACCTCCTTGCGCAGCTCGGCCACCTCCGTCCTCAGGGCCGTGTTCTCCTTCTCCAGGAAGGCCGCCCGGATTGTGATCTGGTTCTCCTTCAGGCGCCTGGCGTCCCGTGACCGCTTGGCTGCCACGTTGTTCTTCTTGCGTCTTGTCCAGTACTTTTCATCCTGTAGGAAAGTGTTTTCTGTGGGTCTCTCCGCTGTTCTGTGAGGACAGCTAAGCTTCCCCTTTGGCCACCTAGGTTCTCCTCAGAATTCACTGGTGTCACCAGTGCTAAAGGGTCTGTTTCCCAGCAACCTGCTCCAGCATACGGTGCCACTGATGGCCCCCCCTCACTGGGGTGCCTAGGCTGTGGGTAAGGGCCTGCAACCTGGCTTTAGTTCCCTGAGTGCAAATCTCAGCTATGCAAGGCCGTCAGCAGTAGAACTGCTAACTTCTTAACCTCTCAGTGCCCCAGGTCCCTCTGCTTTATACTGGGGAGAATAACAGGAACTATGCCATTAAGTTGTTAAACATGGGGTTAAACATGCCTTGCCTACAGTAAGTGCTATATAAATGTTTACTGCATCATCACCATCATCCACATTGGTGCTTAGAAATCTCCTGGAGAGATAGGTACATTATGCCCATTTCATAAGTAAAGCACATTGTAGGTCGTAGAAGGTAAAGTGGGTTCTGCACTCAGCTCCAAATCTTGGATGAGAAGTCCTTCCTATAGGGCTCTCAGAGGAGAATGGAAAAACTGCAAAGCTCCTCTTCACACTGCAGAACTATCAGCTGGAGTGCTGCTTGCTCATCCTTGGGGATGGGAACATAAGACGTTTGTCCTTCAGAATGGGGACTTATTCAACCCTAGTTCCCATGTCCTAGTAGTTCTTGCCCAATGGCTGGACTAAAGCCAGAGAAAGAGGGTTAGTAACACAGTTAAAGAGTGTCCAGAAAGGAGACAAAACTACAGGAGCCCTGGGGTCAAATGACATTATTTCTAACAAACTGCTGCAGGTGTGGCTCTGTGCACTGAACTTGTCTTTCTAAATAGTGTCCACAAAGAGGAAGGGTGGGCCAGATAAATGACATGGAAGGAGGCACAGTCCCTAGACTTCTTTCGAAGTGCAGGAGATAGAACCCAGGCCTAGCACATGACAGGCAAATTCCACAACTGAGCTACATACATCCCTAGCCCAGTACCTGGACTCTTAAGCCACTGTCATACCTTACTGATAAAGGATACCAGGTTACCTTCTGCTCATCAGGGACAAAGACCTTCTTGGCCTTTTTGATCATGGGCTGGGGCTTCAGATCCTCCTCGGCAAACTTGTGCTTCCGAGGGTTGAAGAGCTCCCCGCCTGGTACACTGGATAGGACCAGGTCGGCAGGGTCCGGGTTGAAGTTCACATCTACTTCCACACAGTTGGGGTCGATGGGACTGGGAGTTTCCCTCTCCTTTTCCAGGGAGGATTCTGAAAGACACAGGGATAGGTGGTCTGAGAGCAGCTCAATGGACAGAGAAGATCCATGTTACCCTCCAAGATACCTGTTTGAATCTCAAGGCTGTATAACCACTGCTACTAAGGGGGAAGAAAACTACAGCAGTACCAGCTTTGGGCCACAGGGGCACACATGGACCAATTCAACAACGTAAACATGGAAAGAACTCTTCTTTTTTTGGTGGTGGTCCTGGGGATAAAACCCAGGGCCTTGGTCATGCTGAGCATGCACTTTCCCACTGAGCTACACCCCCAGCCAAAGAGTTCTCTTTAGGAATGGAATGCTTCAAAAGAAACTGGGCTTTTTTTTTGACTTTTTCATTTTTATCGGTACCAGGGATCAAACTTATGCTGCTGAGCTAAATCCCCAGTCCCCGAAACTGGGCTCTCAAAACAGGATTTTCCAACTCTCTCACCCCCGAATGTTAAGCAAAACATTAAATCACTGAAGCCCATTAACTTCCTGTCTCAAGTTCTCCAGTAATGAGAACAGCTGAATCTCTCCATGAACTACAACAAACCAGGGAAACAGACAGAGTAACTGACACAAGTTCCACTTCTGAGTCCCAAGGCATGTTAGGGGCTGCGCTCATTTACCTTATTGCATTCTGAAAGACCAGTATTAACTCCATGTTACAGATGAGGGCATTAAGGATCAGAGAAATATGATGGCTTTTCTAGGGTCACATAAGTAACTGAACATGTGTCACTGGGGACTGAAGCCGGGACCTTTGCACTGAGCTACATTTCTAGCCCTTTTTAAATTTGTGACAAGGTTTCATTAAGTCATTAAGTTGCTCAGGCTGGGCTTGAATTTGCAATGTTCCTGCCTCAGCTTCCCAGAGTGCTGGGATTATAGATGTGCACCATCACACCCAGTCCCACATTTGGTACCGGGAATCAAACTTGTGACCTTGTGCTTGCCAGGTAGGCACTTGTGCTACTGAGCTAAATCCCCAGCCCAGCCTAAATTTGAATCTTACTCTAGCTGATTCTAATTTCTCATTGTTCTCTGCCCTATCTGGTTGCAGCTTTATAGTGAACATTGGATTAAAACCAATTCCAGAGTTTACAGGTTATGTATCATTAGTGATAAAAGTTATATTTACAAAAAAACTCACTAAACCTCTGACTAACTTGTTCAATGCTTTTTTTTGTCTTTTTCGTTTTTATTGGTACCAGGTCGGGATCGAACTCCTGACAGCACACTTGCAAGACAGGCGCTTATGCTGCTGAGCTAAATCCCCAGCCCCCTTGTTCAATGCTTTTAACAGGAGTGAAGAAAATATTCAGCCAGCTAAATGTCAACTATATGTCTAGTACAGTCAAAGACAAACAAGTATAACAGACAGAAAAAAAAAAAAATATCCCTGCTTTTTGTGGAATGTTATTCTAGAGGCTATGGCTGACATTACACAAATAACCACCTTTTCTTTCTTTCTTTCTTTTTTTTGGTCTTTTTCGTTTTTATCGGTACCAGGAATTGAACTCACGACTACCATGCTTGCCGCTGAGCTAAACCCCCAGCCCCGATAACCTTTTCAATCTATAATAGTGTTAGAAGCCTATGTGGATATGTGGGAGAACACTTCAAAAGCATGAACAGCAATCTTGGCTGATGTGTTCAAAGAACAGACAACAGCCAATGTGACTGGAGTGAATGAGTGAGAGGGAAAATAACAAGACCAGCCTGGAACAGGAGATGCTGGTCCTCTAATCCCAATCACTTTGTGTTCTCAGTGGGGAGACATTCTGCTCTACGAGACAAACTTAGGCAGTGCTGATGGCAGGCAGCAGCCAATTAGGTTTTTACTCTACAACGTAAAAAATATCAAAATTAAAAGTAGGACAATGATATAGTCAGCGGCACAAGTGCCTGCCTAGCAAGCATGAGGTCCTGAGTTCAATCCTGGTACTACTAAAAAAAAAAAAAAAAAAAGGAAGACCTTAAAAAAGAAAAGTAGTCTCACTAGCACTAACAAAAAATTATCTGTTGTGAGGGCTGGGGATTTAGCTCAGCGGCATAAGCACCTTCCTTGCAAGTGTGCAGTTGTGAGTTCGATCCCTGGTATGGATAACAATGAAAAGACAAAAGAAAAAAAAATTATCTGGTGTGAATGTTGCTAACTTTTGGTACTGAAGAATCAAACTTACAACCTTGTGCTTATAAACCTCTAGCCTGATTCTTTTTTTTGGTCTTTTTCCTTTTTATCGGTACCGGGGATTGAACTCACGACTGAATGCTTGCAAGGCAGGCGCTTATGCCGCTGAGCTAAATCCCCCAATTCTAACTTTTTTTTACTTTATTTTGATAAAACTGTATTAGGAAACTGAACCCAGAACCTTTGCACTGAGCTTCATCCCCACGCTTCTTTTATTCTTTTTATTTGGGGGGGGGGGTGCTGGGGATCAAACTCATGACCTTGATTTTGCCACGCAGGCACTTATGCTGCTGAGCTAAACCCCAGCCTTTAATTTTGATTCAAGGTACTAAATTATTACAAGTTACCAAGGCCGGATTTAAACTTTTGATGATTCTGTCTCAGCTCACAGAGTGCTGGGAGTAAAGATGTACACTACTATGCCCACTTCAACTTTTTTCTTGAGATGTGAAGTCACTGTGAAGTCACAGGGTCCAACCTGGATTTTAAGTGGATCACATACTTAAATCCTGCTAGAGGAAGTTAAGTACAAAGAAGTGTGAGTCAAAGGCGTGGTGAACAAGTGACCACGACCCACGTGTTTCCTTCAGGCAAACAAGAGTCTGCCAAACCCCACAGGCACAGGATAAAGAGCCAGGTAACTACCACAGGAAAACTGCATTCAAAGTGACATGGTTGGGGCTGGGGATTTAGCTCAGCGGCATAAGCGCCTGCCTTGCAAGCAGGCAGTCCTGAGTTCCATCCCCAGTACCTATAAAAAGTAAAAAGACAAAAACAAAGTGACATGGTCTGGATACCCTTCAGCAACCAAACACCAGGTGTGGTTAAATTTCAGGAACAGGATAAGAGAGAAGCCCAGGAAACAAATGGCAACAATTTCGACAAAGAGGCTCAGAGCCAAGGGTTTTGAGCAATTCCCTGTTCCCAGTGGATAGCTCTGTCAACAAACTCTAGAAACTGTTAGACTTTAAATGACTCTGGTGGAGGAAAAGACATTATCAGCCAGTCTGCTGATAATTTGCTCCCACATTATTCTCTAAGACCCAACCATTACAAAAGATGTCAGGGCTGGGAATATAGCTCAGGGCCCAAGTGCCTTCCTGGCAAGCACAAGGTCCTGAGTTTGATTTCTAGTACCAAAAAACCGAACAAGGGGCTGGGGATTTAGCTCAGCGGCATAAGCACCTGCCTTGCAAGCAGGCGGTCATGAGTTCGATCCCCAGTACTGATAAAAATGAAAAAGACCAAAAACAAACAAACAAAACATGTCAAAGTTGAATCAAAGGCTAGTGGATGCTACCATTCTGAACACTACTTGGCTGCATCTGTAACAGTTGCATATAAATGTCCAATGACCCCACAGGCTTGCTCCAAAGTAAATGTCCAAGAGAAACAGATTCACCTATTCACCAGAAGACTTGCACATAAATGTACATGGCAGCACTATTTGTAACTATGCCTTTCAACTATAGAATGCATACACTGTGTCATGTTCATGCAAGGGAATATTATATAGCAATGAAAACCAACAAACTAGCAACAGAATGGATCACTTTCACAAAATTGAGTAAAACAAGTCAGGCACTGGGGGCTGGGGATTTAGCTCAGCAGCATAAGCACCTGCCTTGCAAGCAGGCAGTCGTGAGTTCGATCCCTGGTACCGGAAAAATGGAAAGGGGGGGGGGACCAAGCCAGGCACAAAAACATACATACTAATCATATCTTTTCTACAGAACGACCCAGAAAATGAAGAGGGAGATACTGAAAAGGGAGATGGAATATAGGGTACTCCTGAGATACTTCTCCAGCCATTTTTATTTTGAGATAGGAGCTCACGAAGATGCCCAGGCTGGCTATGAGTTTACAATCCTCTGGCCTCAGCCTCCTGAATATCTGGAATTACAGGCATGAGTCACCACACCCTACCCTACTTTTATTTCTACCATGTGTACAATTCATGAAATAAACTCTCAAAATCTATATGATGATTTTTTTTTGGTCAAGAGAGCACTTCCTGGGCCTGGTGGATTTAGCTCAGCGGCATAAGCGCCTGCTTTGCAAGTAGGCAGCCGTGAGTTCGATCCCTGGTACCGATAAAAAGGAAAAAGACAAAAAAAAAAAAAAAAAAAAAAGGAGCACTCCCTAAGTATATTCTGGAAAACTATTTTATTAATGTTAACATATTCCCATGTACACATTATATGTATATCAGATAGCTATACAAAGCCCTAAATGCAAGACAATATAAATGTAGTGAACTTTATTTATTTATGATGCTGAGGATCAAACCCAGGACCCTGCACTGGTAGGCAAGTACTATACCTCTAGCTGTACTCATAGCCCAACTTACGATATTTAAAAACAAAAAAAGAAGATATTATACATACAATTCCATTTATTGAAATTTCAACTATGAGAAAAAAATTTTTTTTCTTTTGTCTTTTCTTTTTTTTTTTTTTTGGTCTTTTTCTTTTTTATTGGTACCAGGGATCGAACTCACGACTGCCTGCTTACAAGGCAGGTGCTTATGCCGCTGAGCTAAATCCCCAGCCCCTCTTTTGTCTTTTTTGAGAGAAGGTCTCACTATGCAGTTCAGGCTGGCCTTGAGCTTACTTGTAGGCCAGGCTGGCCTCGATCTCACAACAATCTTGCCTTAGCCTCCCGAGCGCTGGGATTACATGTGTGTGCCACCATGCTCAGTTTAGAAAACCTATTCTTTGGTGATAAAAATTAGAATAACAGTCACTTTTTGGGAGTAAGGACTACACAAGACCACAAGACACTTCAGTACCAGTAACACAATTTTGGATTGATTCGGGTGGCAATCACACAGTGGGTCCACCTTATGAAGATTTATTGAGTAATACACTTATGAAATATGTACTTGTATATACTACACATCATTAAAAATCTTCATTTAAAAATATAATCTAGTTAGGTGTAATGGCAGATACCTGTAATTCCCAGCACTCTGGGAAGGCTGATGTAGGAGGGTTTAAAATGCAGTCCAGCTTGGGCAACAGAGTAACTGAGCAAGAAACTGTCTCAAAAAAAAAAAAAAAAAGAAAAAGAAAGAAAGAAAAAAAAGGGCTGGGGATATAGCTCAGTGTAAAGGTGCTGGGTTTAATCCCCAGCACTGAACAATCATTAATTAACAAAAACATAATCAAGCTGGGTGTGCTGGTACACACCTATAATCCTAGTACTCAGGAGGCTGTGGTAGGAGGATCACTGGGAGTTTGAGGCCAGCCTGGACTACAAAGTGAGTTTAAGTCCAGCTTGAACTGCACAGTGAAACCTTGTCTCAAAAAAAAAAAAAAAAAAAATCAAAGGTAAGTGCCGACTGGCTTACAGTAAAACATGGGGTCATGGGGCTGGGGATTTAGCTCAGCGGCATAAGCGCCTGCCTTGCAAACACGCAGTCGTGAGCTTGATCCTCAGTACCGATTAAAAAAAAAAAAAAAAAGATGGGGTCATTTTCTGTCTGCTTTCTACCCATACATGCAATCAGCCGTCTAGGACAACTCAATAAGCATCAGAATTTCTGCCTTCAAATAAGAATTTTGCTTAAATCAGCTGAATCCTCTCTCTTTTTTGGTACCAGGAACTGAACTTAGGACTTTGCGCTTGCTGGCAGGTGTTGTGCCCTCTGAAGTATATCCTTGGCTCAAACTGAAGCCTCTAATTTAATCTTACCAGTTTACAAGGAAAACCAATGAGGGGCACAGAAACATGCTACAAGAAGAGAACCAACAAAACCCAGCACCTATGAAACTACAGAACACACACTTTAGTGTCACTAATAAATAATAAAGAAAAGAAAAAAAGGAGACACACCTATAGATAACAAGAAATTTAAGACACATACCAATCCCCAGTACCCTAGTACCAAAAAAAAAAAAGAAAAGAAAAGAAAAAAAGACATACATCAACCAAATATAGCATGCAGGATTTGTGTGGCTCCTGACTCATGACATGAATGAGAACAGCTTTGGAAATCTGAATGCTGATACATTACTGTCACTGTCAGATAATGTATAAAATTATAGTGCTTTCGTTATTAAAAAAATCTTACATTTTAGATTCATGCTGCAATATTTATGGATTAAAAACATGTTATATCTAGCACTTAATCGACAATACTTCATTATGAGTTAACTGCTAAAGCTGCCAGGTATGGTAGTGCATGCCTATAAGCCCGGCATTTATGAGGCTGAAGCAGGAAAACAGCTGTGAGATCAGTGTGTGCCACGCAGCGAGTTAAGTCCAGCCTGCACTGTATAGTGAGACCTTGTCTCAAAAAAAAAAAAAAAAAAAATAATTGCATGAGCTTCCCCATAGTCTGGGACAAATCGTAGGTGATGGGGATAAAACAGTAACATCAAGGCAATGCAGGATAGGATTTCTGCCGGCAGAGCTTCCAAGCAGAAGGGCTCGCCCCATTGTTTTGCCCACCAGCAGCACAACACACAACCGACAGGTGCTCAGTGCTGCTGAGGTTCCTAATGGTTTTATCTCCCACCTTGGGACAGAACTGGAGGGGGGCAGAAGGTTAATTCACACTGCAGCCAACAGATGCCCCCTTAGGAAGAGGGGCTCAGTAGGTATGTAGTGGCAGCTGCTCTTAGTAGGGGCAAGCAGCCCTGCCCAGAGGCCGGTCACCAACCTGTGCTGGATACAGTTTCAGAAGGCTGGAAGACGGCAGCAGAGGAGGATGGCGGGGAGGCGGTGGAAGAGCTGGCGGACTCCTTCCCCTCTAGCTCAGCCACAGGCAGCAGAAGGTTCTGGGCCAGCTGAGTGGGGCTGGCAGGGATGCCATTCTCCAGCAGGAACTCGTCCAGGTCCATGTACTCCAGGTGGAAAGACTCACCATCGTAGGGATGGTCTTGTCCCAGATGGGAGGCATGAGGGAGGCCGAGACAGCCATAGTACTGGCTGCCGCTGCCTCATCCTCCTCCAGCTTTTCCTTTCCCTTTTCCTTATCTGTGAATAAAATCTGTGATGAGACACCGAACAAGAGGGTACCTTAATCCCAGGAGACAGGCAGAAGCCTTCAGGCAGACCCATCTTTCTCAGAGGCCGAGTTCTGTCTCCAACATTTTCAGAGCCACCCTGAGCTCCAGTTACAACCTGGTGCTTGAAGAAGGCTGGCTGACTTCTTTTAGAGGGGCATCATGCCCTTTTCTGTGCCTGGCCTTTCTGGAATGCCAGCCACACATCTTGAAATCTGATGTGGTCCCACGGTTAGCACAGTACAAAACCTGGGGTTAGCATCTACCGGAGAGAAGTGACCTTTCCTGGTAACTCCGCTTGAAAGGGTAGAGAGGCCCTTAGGTCAAGAGCTTTCGAGTTTCCCTGGTCTGTTCCTTCAGTTTTAGGCCTCTCTACAGCTACCAAGGCTGCCACCCATGAGCTGGGTGACTGTGACCTTGGCCATGTTATTTACTTCTCTGAGCCTCAGTGTCTTTTCCTGTAACACGGTAAGAGCTGCCTCTTCAGTGAATACTAGAAAGAACATCTCAAAGTCTGTAAGAGCACTTCACACATGGTAGGCATTCGCCAGTCCTGTGAAGGCACAGGAAGGCACAGAAGGCAGGGACTGTGTCTGATTTGGTTCTACATCTCGGCAGCCAACAAAGGCGAAGGCAGACAGAGGGCTAAGGGAAAACGTGTACAGAGGGGGCAAGATTAGGTTTGCAAACAGATTTACTTCAAGGTTACTGGATTGAGGGGACCTATAACTGTCTTTTCAGAACCTCTTTCAGAATAATCTTTTCCAAGGCCTTTATCCCTGAGTAAGCAGAAAAGACTGAATGCAGGTTTTCAGAGAGGAAGAAGAGTGGAGCTGAAGAAAAAACTGCTCCTATTCAAAGCAAAACTAACCAATTAGTGTAGACCAGATCCCATCTGACTGCCTCAGTCAAAAAATTACACACATTAAAAAATATTTCTAGGGGCTGGGGATTTAGCTCAGCGGCATAAGCGCCTGCCTTGCAAGTGTGCGGTCATGAGTTCGATCCCTGGTACCAATAAAAACAAAAGAGACCAAAAAAAAAAATTTTTTTTTTAAAGTTATGCACATGGATATCCAAGAAGGCAATTAAGAAAAAAAAGACAAGTGAAAAATGTGACAAGACTGGAAGGAAATTAAACTGACAAGGAGGCTAATCAGAGAAGTGGGAGATAAAATCATGACAAGTTCATGATGGATTTTCAAAACTGAAAGAGACAACTCTGAACTCTAGATTTAGAAGTGAAAAGGAAAACTCAAATATGATTATGTTGGAAATAAATCAGTCATGCATGCACTTCTACACCACAGCTGCTCAAAAATCAGTCTGCCATCAATAAAAATGGACACACCCAGCGAGTTAAGAAGATGGTTTTGAGGAACAGCACTTGGTCCTAACTTCTAATGTCAATTCATGCAAATGCCTCCTTCTCTATGAGGCTTTGGTTTAATACCAACTGGGAAGTAAAAAAGCCAAGTCCCCTGGGCTGGGCAGGCCAGATGGTCTCCCTGCTACTCTCAAGATCCTTACTCCACATGCTGCCAGAAAAGACTTGATATGCTGGGTAGTGTAGTTTTGGATTGAGGAGGAAAGAGAAGGAAGGCGAGAGAAAAGCAGTCACACCAAGGAACAGGCAACAGTAAGTTCCTGATGTTGCCTGGCCTAAGAAATTAGACTATTCTGAATCAGTGTTTCTCTAAAGTGCAGGGGATTTTTTTGGGTGTGCATGTGTGTTTGTGTGTGGTTATTTCTGAGGTGCTGGCAAGGGTGTTCTACCAATGAGCTATAGTCCCACTAGGGTGGAGTTTTATTTATTTAGTGGTACCAAGGATTGAATTCAGGACCTTACGCTTGCCAGGCAGGTGCTGTGCCACTGAGCTATATCCCTGGCCCTATGGAGGAGTTTTAAATTAATTATAAAGGATAAAGGCTGTGTCCATCACTCAGGTCATAGGGATTGGTACCAGTGGCTGCTAGTGTGGAAGAACACCAAACTGCAGGCTGTACAGCCTCTCCATGTGACCTTGAGGACGCAACCCTACCTCTTTCGGGTGGAAAGGAGGATGAGGCCCCAAAAGACTACTGCACAAGTCTAAATGAAATAAGCTTATGTCAGAGCACCTCATGAGCACTCTGGAAATGTAAAGTACAGGAACCATTACAGATGACTGCTGTCCAGTACTATTACAGAACCTACCAGATGTGAACACCTACCCTGTGGCTTGTCTCAGTCCGAGACTGGGCACAAAGCACTGCCTTAAACCGAAAGCTTTGTGCTCATGAGGTCCTGAAGCAGGAGAGAGCCTAGTCTCACCTGATGTGCTGTAGCTATTTATAACCCAACAGTGACAGCCACAGGGCTGGGAGCCTCAGAACACACAGGAAAAGGGAGGAAAATGGCACTTTTTTAAAAGGAAAATTAACTCCAGTGGACCTGTCCCTTCCCAAATTACAATGATGGGGCTGGGCATCTAGCTCAGTGGTCTAACACCACCTGCCTGGCAAGCACAAGGTCGTGAGTTCGATCCCTGGTAACAAAAAACAAAACAAACAAACAAAAAAAGGTATGCCAAATTACACTGATGGCTGGTGGAAATTCAAAGATCTCAGACTGCAAGTGCATCTCAGTGCACCTAAAACCCCACAAGAAGTGGCACTCCTCCTGCTGCTGCCTGAACTTCTTCATCTTTAGGTCTAACCGAGGCCAAAATTTTTGCTTTCCACACAGGCCTCGGGGACCCTGGTGGCCTGGGTAAGAAGATCAAAGTTCACAATCCCTGCCACTGTAGCCTGTAGGGAGTCAGTGGTATCATTCTAACCTTCATCTCACTCCTGCTTCCCTCAACCCGTCTCTAAGACACCCCATGTCTCACCCTACACGCACCCCTCCATCCATACGTTAGCAGCAGCTGCAGTCGCCCAGGCACATATTTCTAGAACAGCTCCAGCATGGCCACAGTAGCTGAGAATACTCATCTCCAGGCAGGAAGCCTCCTGCTCCTCCCCGAGAAGGGGCCAAGGCTATATACAATCTGCTCCCTAAACCGCACTTCTCAAACTTTGGTGCACTTTGAAACCAGAGGGTTGCAGTGGGGTGCTACTCAAAATGCTTGCTCCTGTCCCAGTATCCGCAGCCTGGGTGGAGCCCACGAACCGGCATTTTAGACAAGCATTCCAAAAACCAGTACAGGTACAGGCGGGCCCAGGGGAGGTACCCAGAAAGCGGTTGTTCAGACCCTCTCAGCCTCCTAAGAATCTGTACATCAATGTCTCCTCTAGCCCTACCCCACCGACCTAACCTCTCCAGCCAGCCCCCTGACCCTTTCTCCCGACCCACACCTAATCCTGCAGGCCCCTATTCATCCCGGGCCCCCCTCCCCCTCTGCCTTACCACTTCACCCTGACCTCCGACCTCCCGGCTCCGCCCTCTAGAGGCTCCGCCTCTGCAGGAGCCCCGCCCCATGCGGCGGGGAGGGCTTCCTCACCGATGCGCGTCTCGCGCGGGGGGTTCTCCATCAGCTTCTTCAGGACCAGAGGGAAGGAGCCTGGCAGGCCCCGTTCCCCAGCTGCGCGCCCCGGGCCCGGCCCCGGCCCCGCCTGCGGCTCCACAGGCGGCTTCTTCCCGCCGCCTGCGTCGGACATCGTGTCCCGCGCCCTACTCGCGCGCCTCGTTTCCCCCGTCCGCCCGCCCCCTGAGATGGGCCAGAGCCGCGCGACCCGCCGCAGCTGCCGACACGAGAGCCTACTGCGCAGGCGCGCCGCGGCACCCCCGCCTCCCCGCACTGCTGCCCCGCCCGCGGACGGTCTCCCGCATATTTATTATTCATGAGGCCAAGCCGGCGGCGCCCGGGGCGCGGCTTCGGATAGGCTCGCCCTGTGAGGGGGTGGGAGCGAATTTGCGAGCCCGGATTGGCCAGGTGGCCAGGGGGAGCGGGACACGTGCGGGGCCAGGTGAGGAGCGCTGGCGCCCGTCCCGGGCCCCTGATTGGTGCCTGTTGAAGGCTGTGTCCTAGGCCTTGTACTGCGCCAGTCCCTTACCTCTCTGCCACTGTGTGCCATTCGCTACCCTCTTCGTGCCCCCCGCTTTTCTACCAGGCCACCGCCTCTCTTCCCTTTGCCTCACATCCCACCCTTGCCACTTTGCCTAAAGGTTCGGAGGAAGGCGGGGCTGGGAGCAGATGGGCGGGCTCTGCGGGTCACGTGGAGCCGCAGCCGCGTCAGCCAGCGTTATAGGGGGCAGGAGGGAGGCGCGAGCAGCCAATGGGCGGCGGGGGCGGGCCTGGCGTCGGGTGCACGAGGCGCTGCACGTGCGGCTGCGAAGGGTGGGGGCGGGGCGCGAGGGGAGGGGCGGGGTTTTCTGTTGCTGAGTGCGGGCCCCGGGTCTTGGGACCCGGAGCTGAGCCGGGCCATGCGTTTCTTCCCACGCGAGTCTGAGCCTGGCTGCGGACGACGTCGGGGGCTTGGCCGCGGGGGAACCGGGTGTCGGGTTGCCCACTGATCCTGATCCCTGGGACGCTTGGCTGCCGGACAAACACTATCGTGGAGAGAGCGCTCCTGAGGCCTGGCCCTGCGACCGGGTCGGGTGCACACTTCCGTGCCTCCTACTGGCTCGTGACCTTGGGAAGGTCCAGCTGCTCCGCTAGAGCTCCTATCCTGCGCCATAAAATTAAGAAATCGAGCTGGAGAGTCCCAAGCAGCTCTGAATGCACTTCCTTTCCAGACTTTACCCTTCCTCTTTCTAGAATAATTTTTTAAAAATCTTTTTCACAAAGTATAGATTTTGAATTTCGTGGGAGAACCACCTCCGCTCCTAAAATATAAACACTCCCCGGAGTTCCTAGGGGAAACTTGAGGGGGCCACTGATGCAAAGACCATACAGAAAGTTGCTGGAGACTGGCAGTGCTCAGAACTTTGAACTTTGAACTCTCGTACTGATCTGTTGGTAACCTGCTTCAAACCCGAGCAACACAAACGCTTCCGGTGAGCGAGGACTTTGGCTTGTTTACCCTGTGTCCCTTAGATGCCCCTGGCCGCCCGGGTCCTTGGTCCCTGGAATGGGTGCCAGGGACAGGCCACCCAGCTGGCTGGCAATTAATAGAAGTTTGCTGGCAGTTGAATAAGAATTTGAATAGCTGAACAGACCTAGAGAGCAAGAGATCTGAAAGGGTTTGGGTGATGGTGGAGACAGACAGAAGGATGGAACTCTTAACTCCAAAATTCAAATTTTTTCCACACTGGGCTGATTATTTCTGATCTGACGGCCCCAGCCAGTTGCTTCAGTTCTCTAGGCCCTTCTCTCCCTCCCTCCCTATCGCTTTCTCCCCCTCTGTCCATACTGGGGATTGAACCCAGTGCTTTCACCCTTGTTTTTTTTGAGTGGGTCCCAATAAATTGCCCAGGCAGGACTTTTTAACTTTCGGATGTGACACCGCACTTTTTCTTTATATGCCAAATGGATAAAGGGCAGATCAACCCTATAGTATTTCTATGAACCAGTGCGTGGGAACTCACAATTGCAAGCCTGCAACAAATAATTTTCGTAATTTTACTAAAACTGTGATGGGTACACAAGATGGGTTCCCACTGTGGGAATCATAAATGGAGTACAGAAAACCCATGTGTTGAATTATTGTTTGTGGGACTTCTGGAGTGGTTAAAGGACAGCTATCTTTAGGAGAAAGTAACCTAAAAACTTTTAGAAAGTAATTTTAATGGGCATTCTAAGGAAGCTGATTTAAACAAGTTAAGCTTTTTTTTTTTTAAAGAACCACTAGTTTGGACATCCATGAGTTTGCTCTATTAAGAGTTAAATTTGAGGGGCTGGGGATTTAGCTCAGCGGCATAAGCACCTGCCTTGCAAGCAGGCAGTCGTGAGTTCGATCCCTGGTACCAATAAAAAGGAAAAAGACAAAAAAAAAAAAAAAAAAAAAAGAGTTAAATTTGAAGGGGCTGGAGATTTATCTCAGCGGCATAAGCACCTGCCTTGCAAGCAGGCAGTTGTGAGTTCGATTCCTGGTACTGATAAAAAGGAAAAAAACAAAAAAAAAAATTAAATTTGATGCTGGGCATGGTGACTCACACCTGTAATCCCAGCACTCAGGAGGCTGAGGCAGGAGGATTGTTGCAAGTTCCAGACTGGCCTGGGCTACAAAGTGAGCTCAAGGCCAGCCTGAACTGCATAGCAAGACCTCCTATCAGAAAGACCAAAAAAAAAAAAAAAAAAAAAAAAAAAATAGGGGCTGGGGATTTAGCTCAGTGGCATAAGCACCTGCCTTGCAAGCAGGCAGTTGTGAGTTCGATCCCTGGTACCGATAAAAATGAAAAAGACAAAAAAAAAAAAAAAAAAAACAGAAAGAAAGAAAAGGAAAAAAAATTTAAAAAGTTAAATTTGAATTTTTGTGGTCGGTGTGACACTTTTGAGAGGAGAGAAAACTATTCGCAAGGGAATGGTGGAAGATTTATAACAGGAATGGAAAGTTACTTGTTTGTGATAAAGGTAGGATGCAGAAGTGGTAAGGTTTAGATTGTTAAAGTATGGGAGCGGCTTGCAGAGCTGGCAGGTTGGGAGTCAGCATTTAGCTGGGCACCTGTGTCTGCTCTTGTCCTGCCACTCCTCTGAGAAGCAGAGGGTGAATGGTGTGTCACAGACACTGCAGGAGGATTCCAGACATGTTCCCTCTTGTGCCTCACTGCAGGCTGTACCACGTTCTGGAGCGGGGCCCTGTGTTTCCTTCTCATCCTCCACCTGTCCTCAGAACCTCAGCAGTCCTCTACCTTTGTCTCCCATCAGCGATATGAAAATAACTCCACAACTTTCTCTCTCTTTTTTTTCCCCTTGTACCAGGGAATCAAATTCACGACCTTGCACTTGCCAGGCAAGGTGCTTATGAAATATCAGGAGAAGTCAGGAGCTAATTTCCATAGTGTTTGTGAGTCCTGCAGATCAACTCTGTAAGAAGAATGTGCTACTAGCAGTTAAGACTAACAGTATGAAGTGGTCTCTTAGTGCATATTCTTAGTACTTTTGTTTTCTTTTTCGAGACAGTGTCTCGCTGTGTAGCCCAGGCTGGCCTGGAACTCAGGTGTGCCACCTTGCTCAGCACATGATCAGTTTTCTTTTTTTTTAATTTTTTTTTTTTTTTTTTTTTGTCTTTTTCGTTTTTATCGGTACCAGGGAAGGAACTCACGACTGCCTGCTTGCAAGGCAGGCACTTATGCTGCTGAGCTAAATCCCCAGCCCCACATGATCAGTTTTCAATACAGTGGCCCTCTGAAGAAGGCACTGGGTCTTGGAGCAGCAGTGACTTGCTGGGCTTGGGAAGCAGCCCTGGGGAGCCTCCTCCCGCCACTCACCCACCATGTGGCCTTGGGCAAGTGACTTCTAAGTCCTGGCTGTTTTCCTCCTGGAAACACGGGCCTGTGCCTAGTTCCCAGGGTGGCAGTGAAGGTGACTTCTAATAAGCAGTGTCAGGTCCTATCCAGGATAGCTGTGTGTGGGATGGAGCAGACGGACATCTACCCTTCACTTCATTTAGGTTGTGCTAGGTCAGGAGTTGAATTATTCCAGGAGTGAGGCCAAAGCTGTAGGCCTGAGAGGTTACAGAGTCTAAAGTAGAGCCACAAGGCGATGAAAAATACCTGTTTTAGTAAAATTGGACTGACTTTTAAATGCTACTCTGGTTTATTTTTCCCTTTGGAGCTTTGGGAATTAAATCCAGGTCTTCATACATGCTAGGCAAGTCCGTCCCCAGCCCTAAATTCTATGCTTTACTGTTCCAGATACCTGGTAATCAATCCAAGGTTAAAAAACATTTCATAGGGGCTGGGGATTTAGCTCAGCGGCATAAGCACCTGCCTTGCAAGCAGGCAGTTGTGAGTTCGATTCCTGGTACCGATAAAAAGGAAAAAGACAAAAATTTTTTTCATTCAAAAGCCAGATGTGCAAAAAAAAATAAAATAAAATAAAATCCAGGTATGGTGGTGGATACGTATAATCTTAGCAATTGGGAGGCTGAGGCAGGAGGATCACTGAAAGTTTCAGGCCAGTTTGGACTACATAGTGAGTTCAAGGCCAGCCTGAACTACATAGCTAGAGTCTGTGTTGAAAACAAACAAAAAACATAATTCATCTGAGCATATGTAGAACAAGTGATTTTCCTTAGTGTGGAAGGCTTTGACCAGGTGCTTACTAAGGATTTCTGGCTATGTAGTCAGCACCTGGCAGGACAGATGAGTAGAAAACAGCCTGGGACAGATAGGAGCAGAATGATCAAGGCTTCTTTGGTACCTATGTCCTTTGCCAGGACTGAGCACAAATGGGTGCTGTAAATACTTGCTGTCTGGTTGGCTGGTTGGTGCTTATGGGGAGGTTAACAAAACCTTGCAGAGCCAAGTCCCATGCGTCTAGAGCATTATTAACATTAAATAACATTCAGCCCTGGAATAGCAACTCTGCATTGTATGGCAGATGCGCTGGCACAGACCTTGGCACGGCCTCGCCAGCAGCTCTCCTTTCTGGCCCACATATACACTGTGGCCATGGGGCCCTGGGCGCTATGGTTTGTAACTTGGTCTCAGTGCGTTCCAGGGAAATGGTGGGTGGAGGCTCTTTTAACATTCTTGCCCAGCTCTTTAGTACTCTCCAGAGTACTGATTTCCTGTTTGGCTTGCATTTTGTGCACTCCCAGGTTTCAGGTTACAGATGAGCTGCCCCAAGAGAGCCATTGCAAGGAGAAGCCCTCCTCCTGATCCAGCCTCTGCAGCATTTCAATGACCACCACCTGACTCAGCCTTAGTTTCTCCAGCTAAAACTGTCTTGGCAGTAAGGTAACCCGAGCCTGACCGCCTAACCCTAGTTTGATTCTTGCTTGCTCTGTGACCTTAGTAAGTTAGGTAATCTCTCTGTGCCTGAGTGTCAGAAGTAAAGGAGCCACAGGAGCTGGGGATTTAGCTCAGCTGCATAAGCACCTGCCTTGCAAGCAGGCAGTCGTGAATTTGATCCCTGGTATGGATAAAAAGGAAAAAGACAAAAAAAAAAAAAAAAAAAAGTAAAAGAGCCAGAGCCGGCATGGTGGTATATGCTTATTATCTCTCAGCACTCTGGGAGACTGAGGCAAGAGGATCAAAAGTTTGAGCCTTGCCTTGGCAACTTAGCAAGACTCCATCTCAAAGACACTTTTTTTTTTTTTTTTTTTTTTGTCTTTTTGAGACAGGGTCTCACTATGCAGTTCAGGCTGGTGTTGGACTCACTTTGTAGCTCAGGCTGATCTCGAACTCACAATGAAAGACACATGTCTTGGGGCTGGGGATTTAGCTCAGCGGCATAAGCACCTGCCTTGCAAGCAGGCAGTTGTGAGTTCGATCCCTGGTACCCATAAAAAAAAAGGAAAAAGATGAAAAAAAAGAATGAAAGACACATGTCTTTTAAAGACGAAACTGGCTGGGGATGTAGCTCAGTGTGAAGACTTGGGGTTCCGTCCCTAGTCCTGAGAAATAAGTCATTTTGGGCAGACTGCTGAGGGCAGAGCCTGGTACACAGCCTGTTTTCAACAAAGGTTAGCTCTTCCTATCATTCCAGCCTGGGGTGTCCTGGGGATACCTGAACCTCCCCAAAATAGTTGGGCAGGGCCATACTAGCCTCATTTTCTTGCTGTCCTTTTGTGCACAGTGGCCTTTTACTCCTCAGATACAGTGAGTCTTTTCCGCCTCAGGCTAGGGTTCCTTAGAGAACCAGCTACTCCTCATCCTCCAGACCTCAGCCTGAGTCCCCTTGCAGAGGCAGGCCCTGACCCTGAGTGCTGACTATCTGTCTCTCCTCTCTGGATGGCAAATGCAACTGAGCAATAACAGCATTGGTCTCATGCCTTCCATTTGCCATGGAGAGTCTCCTCGGAATCGGGATCCTGGTCCTGGTCCGCTCTTTGTGAACCCTCAGCTGTCTTCCCAAGCCCCACTGCTTTGCCCAGAAGGCACCTGGCTTACAAATGCCTAGAAGGGGACCTGTCTGCCCAGCTCTGAGTCAAGGCCTTGCTCAAACTTCAAAATGTATTGTGTTGCCCCACATCTCCAAGAGGAGGCCCGAATGGGTGGAGCAGCAGGAGGAGGGCTGGGGCGCTGCTGAGCACAGCCAGCCAAGGCTGCAGGGATACAGGAAGGGGTGTGAAGGGTCACAGTCTAGTTCAGAAACACGGTCTTTCCTGAAGTTGGAGAAGAAAGAAGTGAGGGATTCTGAGTATCTGGCAGAGAATCAGTCACTTCTTGAAAGAGGGTCCTTAGGGAAGGAGTGGGGACAATGATCAGAATCAGGGATACTGAGGAAAGGGGAAACTGAGTCAGGAAGGGGAAACTGAGTCCTTCAGGGTTTGGCACATGAATTTCTCTGCCCACAGGGAAATTGGTTGAACCCATACGTCAGACTAAAGGCCACCAGGAAGCTAAAGGAGTCTACTCCTCAAGGGACAGCAGGAGGCCAGGTCTGTACAGGCTGGAGGGTTTGGTAGAGCTGTGAGAGGGAGAGGGCCCTTCCTGGGTCTCAGGCAGTGCCTTTGAACCCAACAAACGGTGCAGAGGTGCAAGGGGGTGTCTCACCAGGTATACCTGGGCTTTCTCAAGCTCTGCCTGGCCGTCCTCTGCAGTTCCCTCCCCTGCCCATGCCCTCACTGCTGCAGGACCTCTGACCACAGAAAGGAGAAAGTGGGGCGTTCTGGACAGTGCCTGAGGAGCAGGAGTGAAGGGAAAGTTGTGGCCTCTGGTGTCCTTTCATCTACACTGGAGCCAGAGTGGTGGAAGTGGGGGAGAAGCTGCGTGGACCGGAGCACTCAAGGTGCCTCTCCCTCGAGTAACTGCTCTGAATCTTGTTTGGTGTGGAGGGGATGCGCTCATGTACCTTGGCAGGGAGACATTTTTATTTTTTGAAAGAATTTGAAGAGCCAAAAAAAAATTTTTTTTGAAGAGCCTTGGAACTGTGGGGTGCAGCAGTGGCAGGTTGGGGTACAGGAATAAATGGGTGAGGGGACTTGGAGAGGCCTCAGCCTCTTCTGCTTGCTTGCCCTCATTTCTACAGGCAGCTGCCAGTCCTGTGGAACTTCATGCTCTGGCTCTTAGTGAGGAGCCACATAAAGAGACAGGAGGTGACATGTGGTTCTGGGCTGTGTCCTTCAGACCTGTTCAACCTTTGGCGGCACTCGATAGTCTGGAGCCTTCGGCCCCGAAGCTCTGGATCCTGACTGCCCACTGCAGGGCGAGACAGAGATCCTTCAGCTGTCACAGGGCTCCGCAGCCCAGCTGGGAACCAGTGACCAGCAGCTGCCTGACCCTCCTCTTTGAAAGAGCCACACCCGAGTTGACCCCAAAAGCCCTGCCCTGTCCAGCTGGGAGCTGGCCCTCCAGTGCAGGAATGTCCTGGAACATCTGGCTTGGGCCAGGAGGGTCTGGGCCTGGATTAGGAAGGGGATGCTATACTTTAGCTTTTGGAGAGCCTTCCTGCTGGGGCCACCAGTATGGGCCACACAGAGGTGGCAGAGTTGTTTTGTCATTGTGGACAATAGCTGGGACTCATCCATCAAGGTGGGCTGCAGGGGCTTCCTTAAGGAGGCAGGAAGCTACTGGACCAGGACTCCTGTGCAGTCCCCCTCACATGGTACCTGCACTGCCTGTTATCTGACACCACACACTATGGTTTAAGAGATCCTGGCCCAAAGACCCATGGGCAGACCATCCACCCTCTCATGTGCTCTGGGGGCTACTGTTTCCCCTCAGGCAGTGTCTCCCCAGAAACACAACCTATAGCTCCTCCCTTCCTTACTTTATTATTTTGGTACTGGGGATCAAACCCATGACCTCACACTTGCCAGGCAAGTGCTTATACCGCCGAGCTAAATCCTCAGCCATCCTTACTTTAAAGTAAGTCCATGCCTGGCCCCAGTGAGTAAGAGGGGGCCAGGGGCTGCCCTCTGGCTCCAGTGTTTTGGAGTGGACTTTGAGAGTCCTGCAGAAGGACCAGGACAACCAGGGAGGTGACACCCCAGCACAGCAGGATGAGAAGGGAGGCCTGAGGAGGGTCCCCCTGAGGGGACATGCTGGATTCCTGAGTCAGACTCAGCCAGTGGAGATCAGCTGGGCTCCTCTTCTGCAAGCAGGGAGGAGCTAAAGGTGTAGTTGATGGGCATAGCATGTGCTTAGCATGTGTAAAGCCCTGGGTTCCATCCTCAGAACACCCCAACGTGCTAAGACAATGAGGTGGTTGAGCAATGAAGAACTCGGGGTGATCCCCTATGTCTTGGAACAGAAGTGCTTTGGAGAAATACCTACCAGGAGGGAATATCCTGAGCTCTCCCTGAAACTGAGGATTTGGGGCACTTGGGTTCCCAGGCAGCGATACATGGTTCTAGCTGCCTGGCTGCCCCTCATTCCCCGCCTTTTTCAGCTCGTCCCTTGCCCTGTGTTTGCCTGTGGTATCCTAGGAACACAGGGCTTCAGGCTCTATGGTCCTGTTACATAACAGTTCCAGCCCATCCCTGAGTTCAGCCCTCTAGCATGGAGCCTCTTCCTAGACATGGGCTCCTGCTGCCCAGGCCTACGACTCTATGCCCCCCTAGCCACCCCCAGCGAGCAGAGGGAGGGAGCTTCAGAAGCAATCAGCATCCGCTGGATTCTTTCCACAGGGTGCCCACCTCCTGTCCTTGTCCCAAATGAGCACACCACCTGTCAGTGGCTGCACACTGGCCGTGGCTTCCCAAAGCCAGGAGGCTCAGGAGGCAGCCCTGGAGTTGGCAGGGTACACACACCCCTCCCTGGGGCTTTGCACTACAGCCCTTCTGCTGCTCAGGATGGGACGGAAATCCGGCAGACCCCTGTGGGGACCCTCCCTAGCCTGTCCTGCCACTGTCCCTGTGGCTGCCCCCAGACCACCCCTTATGCTCCTACCTGTCCTCTTCTCTGGCCAAGGCAGAGAGTGCTCCAGCAGGGACTTGAGAACCTCAGGCATGTCCATGGCAGGGGCTACTTCAGTCCTCTGATCACAGCTCCCCACGGCCCAGCAGGAGGTGTCTGCTCCGGAGTTTGGAAGCAGCTGGAGAGGCAGGGGCTGGCCAAGGAGCCGCAGGCTGGGGAGGCAGGCGGGGTGGAAGCCTAAGGCAGCCAATGGGCAGCACCAGCCCTGGCCCGCCCGTCCACCCCCAGCTCGGCCACCCGCCAGCTCTGGTTGCGGCCAGGCCTTCCCTTCCCGCTGCTTGGCAGGGCGGACCTGGCCCTGTGCCAGCTGCAGCACGTGGAGCCACAGCGCCAATCCTCTGACAGAGAACCCGGTCTGTTATCTAACTTTGCAAAGGGAAGTTCTCCCCCAGGCTGGGAGCCATAACTGGGGCTGCCAGTGGAGAACGGTGAGCAGAACTCCACGCCCACATAGAGCAGGCGCACCGAGCTCGAGCTCTGGCACCCTGCACTCGGCAGGCGGAGCCCTGGAGGCCCAGACACTGTGGAGAGCAGGGCACACCAGCAGACCCTGGGCTGTGACCTGAAGCCCCAGGAAGAAAGGATGACCAGAGCTCCAAGCAGCTTAGCACAAAAGATACAGGGGACAGTAGTGGCGGCATCATACATTCCTAGGCAAGCTTGAGCCTGAAGAGTTGGGGCGTGTTCGGATGATGTGGCTGTGCTGTGCACACGTGTCCTGTAGTGCACAGGAGCGTACATGTGGCATGCATGATGGGCTTGTTCCATCTGCAGTGCCTGCAGCCTTTCTTGAAAGCAAAGTGACACAGCTGCAGTCTGAGGGGCTTGGGCTTTGGTGGTGGAGGTGGAAGACAGAGGTGGTGGAGGGCGGAGGGTGGAGGGTGGTGGAGGAGTCCTGGCTGGCAGGGCAGCCCTGCAGACCTGGCTCAAGCCTGTCCTTCCCCATCTGTCATGGGGACCTTGGTGGTGGTTGGCTGTTTGCTGTGATCTCCTCCCCTCCCCTCCTGGTCATGGCACTCTGTGGCCTCTGTGGGCCCAAGGCCACTTCAGTGTGGGTGAAACCAGAACCTATTGTTGTAATCTCCCTAAAACTCACATCAGTGTGCAGCTGAACTTGGTTTGAGGATGGCAGGGTTTTTGTTTGTTTGTTTGTTTGTTTGTTTTGTCTTTTTGATACAGGCTCTTACTATGCAATTCAGCCTGGCCTTGAGCTCACTTTGTAGCCCGGGTCTTGAACTCACAACAATTCTCCTGCCTCAGGTTCCCGAGTGCTGGGATTATAGGCATGAGCCACCATGCCCAGCTTGTTTGTTTTAATTACTTGCAGCACTGGAGATTGAACCCAGGGCTTTCACACTGAACTATGTGTCCAGCCTCATTTTTATTTTTTGAAAGGGGGTTTTGCTAAATGGCTAAATTGCTGGGCTGGACTTGAACTTTCAATCCTCCTACCTTAGCCTCTCAGAGCGCTGAGATTACAGGCATGTGCCATGACACCTGGCTTGATGTCAGGTATTTTTTTTTGTTTTTGTTTTTGTTTTTTGTTTGTTATTTTTGGTCTTTTTGAGACAAAGTCTTGCTGTGCAGTTCAGGCTGAACTTGAGCTCACTATGTAGCCCAGGCTAGACTCAAACATGCAATAATCCTCCTGCCTCAGCCTCCTGAGTGCTGGGATTACAGGCATGTGCCACCATGCCCGGTGATATCAGGTTCTTGAGTGCCTGCCATACACTGATGCAGACTCTTGAACAGCGATTCTGGGTCTTAGTTCCAGAACTAAGACTGAAGAGTGAAGAGTGCAGTGACCTCTCAGCTTTCATGAGTGTAGAGTTCTGGACTGGATATGATAATCACTTGGTTTTCTCCTCTGTGGCTTATTCCTACAACACTCTTCACTGCTTCCCCAAATCCCACTTGTTTTTTTCTTTTCTGTGCAATTCAGGCTGGCCTCGAACGCACTATGTGGCAGCCAGTGCCCTCTGGCTCTGCTGCCTGGGGATGAGGGTGGGGTGGGGCCAGCATGTAGGTACCTGGGGTTGGCCTGCGATCTGTAGGCAGGGATGGACAGGTTGAGCTGGCACATGAACCATGGCGTAGCCCTGTTAGTGCAAAACCGGCTTAGCACCAAGTGGGTAAGCTGGGAGTAGAGCGGGCAGCTGTTCAGGGAGCTTGATTCCAGAGGCAACAGGAAGTCTCTCAAGTCTTAAAAATACCCAGCTGCCGTGCAGCATTTCATTGTGCAGATCCACACTCTTCGAGACTTCTACAGACTCCGTGAGGGCTTCCCACATGCTGTGGTTTCAGCATGGCCCCCACAAGTCCATGTGCTCCCTAGATTTGCTTGTTAATAGTATTTGAATGTAGGAATCTATGAAGAAGAAGACAGCCCTTAACTTGCAACCTTGCTATCTCAGCCTCTGATGTCATCTCCTGCATTGTGGAGCAGCAAGAAGAGCTTGGGGGTGCCAGTGCCAGGCTCCTGGACACCCTAGCCTCCAGAATGAGCCAAGCAAACGTCTTTATAAAGTTCTTGGTTTTGGGTGTTTTGTTATACAACAAAGTATATGGCACGCTAGACCCTGTGAGGAGTTCAGAGCAGTCACACCCCCAGTCAGGCAGCTCCAGAAGCCTGTTCTGAGCTACTGGCAAGTCTCTGTCAGCACCCACTGTGAACCCAGCTGTCTCAGTGGCAGCATCATGGCAGCCAGCAGGGACCCATGGGCAGGTTGCAGAGCCAGGCAGCTGGAGGGTAGAGGTCAGGAGAAAGGAAGGTTGTGTAGGTCTCTGGAGACATGGAAGGGCTGCTGGGCAGATCTTTCCCTTGGCTTCTGGGATCCACTGGCTTCCTTATTGATGGCAGGGAATCCATCCCCATCCCTGCTCATTGTTTTTCATGGGTTCTGTTTGCCCACTGTTCACGGGAAACAAGGAGCCCTTTATGTGCTGACAGCTGTCTCTTTGCAGAGAAGTTGTGACCAGAGGCTGACAGGAAGCCCATGGGATGTACGGCCAAGAGCTCCAGCTCTGGGGAGATTTGGTCAAGGACTGTTACTGTTCCTCCCTCTCACCTCAGTGAGCATGGCACCTGAGCTTCTAGGGTCAAAATGAAGATGCCAGGAGAGACTGGCAAAAAGTTCCTGATCATCCATAAGGTAGGCACAGGGGATGGTGGCCTTTGCTTAGGGCCCAGGTGTGTATTTCCCAAGAAGCTGCACAGGCTTCCTTGGCAGGGGATTATCTTGGCAGGGGATTACCATGTTTAGCAGAACCTTCAAAGGCCCTGTTACAGATCTGTTGCCTGCAGGTTCCTATAGGCCCTGACCCAACTCAGGCTGCTCCTTGAAGGCAGTGTCCTGAGTGGTGGCATCAACACCTCACTGCCCCTCCTCACAGGGCTGAAGACCAAGCAGTAGACCTGTGTTCAATGACAGGGGTCCATGAATGGCCTGAATACTAGCCACTGCCTGGAAAGGTCGATGATGCTGGTACACAGAACCACAATGAAATGAAATTTAGAGAAAACCAAAGAGCAGTAAGTACAGTGATCAGAATGACACAAAACTTTCTATTCAGGTTGGTCTTCTTGGGCCACTGTGGCTTCAAAGAAACCAATTTCTTCAGCTGCCTGGCATCCCCAGGAGCTAGGTGGGGTGGGCACACAGTGAAGCTTACCAACTTGAGCCAAATGCAGACCAGAAGACAAAGGGAATTTATAAGAATTGAAGAATTGGGGCTGGGGATTTAGCTCAGCGGCATAAGCGCCTGCCTTGCAAGCAGGCAGTCGTGAGTTTGATCCCCAGTACTGATAAAAAGGAAAAAGGCAAAAAAAAAAAAAAAAAAAAAAAAAATTGAAGAATTTAGTCTACTAGTTTCATTGAAGTCTTGCTCATCTTAGTCTTACTTTCTTTCAGGAACTGTGCCTTACTGTGCCACTTGGTCATATGCAGCGCTGACAATGGTGCCTACAATCCCAAAATGTCAGGGCCAGAGGGATCTCTGCCGATACCCAGTTCCAGGCGATTCTCAATCATTTTTCTGCCTTTCGGAGGGCCCTCGGAACACATGCTGAACATCTCTGGGCTGTATGTGTATTCAGCAACTTGCAAGGTTGCCATGGAGAACAGATGCACTGTCTGCACAGTGGCTGGTGCCAACAAGGTGCCCAATAATGAAAGTCGGCTGCTTCAGCCCCTCATCTTCTCACTCATCAGGTACCCCAGTGACTTCTGTACACCTGGCCCAAATACCAGTCTCTGGGCAATTCACAGGCCCTGGACCTGTGCTCTCTGGCGGCTCCACCCTTGGGCAGGGTGGGTGTAGCTGGGATCACATTGTAAATGCATGGGTATGACCTCTTGCCTTCTTGGAGAGGCTGCACTCACAAAGGGCACAGAACCCAGGATAGTGCAACAGAAGCAGGGGAGAGCAGATGTCCTGGGCAGCCTGTGTCATGCAGTGAGCATGCAGGATGCAGGAGAGTGGGCAAAGGGTACAAAGGACCCCCTGCATAGAGCGCAGCTTGTCTCCGCCGAGGCGCCACCCGAACCAGGTCAGCTGGTCTCCATATCCTTGCAAGGACACAGGCCTGCCCCCCAGCTCTGGGAATGCCTGCCTGCCACACAGCCAGTGCCAGCCAGCTCTGCCCTGTGAGCATAGTGCAGCCCAGTCCCTTGGGCACATGTGCCAGGTGGGGAGGAATAGGAGTGACAGCTTGGGGACAGGGTCAAAGTGCACAACTGTTTTCTAGAACAAAGACTAAAAGAAGCAAGTTTCTTTCATTTTATTTTAAGAAGGACAAAAATTGTTATTAAAACATCTACATTATTATCAAGATACTAGACCTTATGATATTTAATATTAAAGTGTGGTATTCTTAAAATTTTAATACACAGACATTTTAAAAGGACCATTAAATTGATTACTGTCCAGCTGTGAAATGCAGCATCCCCTCAGCCTACCCTGGCCCAGTCCTGCCATGCCATCTCATCCCCGCCCACTGTGGGTGGGCATAGGCCCTAGACCTGTCTCCCGGCCAGGGACCTAGAGAGCGGTTGCATCTGACATAATCTCATCATTAACAGAGATTTCTTGTCCCCCAACTCTCACCACTCTCTGCTGTCTGCTCTATCCTATCCCATGGGGGTCTGGCTCTGGCCAGGCCAGGCCAGGGAGCCCCAGATCCCAGTGGCCTATGGGGTAAGAGCCTCAAGATGAAAACACTGGGCTCTTGTCCTGTTCCTTGGGGGACAGGCACAAATCATTCCCTTTTTCTGAGCCCTCTGGTTCCCTCTGCACTGGTCTAGAAAACCAGCAGGCAGCAGAGGGCCCAGGTCACCGCTGAGCCCAACTCCAGTCACTAACTCTTTGAAAACAGCCTGATGATCCAAAATTCCCTCCTAGTCACATGAGGATGGCTGCATATTCTGGCCAAATTGTTTATCTTTAGCCCTCATTAGAAGTAATCCTTGGATACCACACACATATATAATATTATATAGAGTGATATATTTAATACCTGTGTATATATGTATCACAGGGCGACATATATACACACTAAAAACAGGGCTGGTGACGACAGACTGCAACAGCACAGATCAGGAGAACAAGTATCATCCACGTTCCTGGCCAGCGCCCCACCTTGGCTGTGGTCTTCCCTCCTGCCAATCACACTGTCAGCACCCACATTCCGCAGTGCTGGCCCACCAGGGGGAGGGGGGGGGGTAGGGAGGGAGGAAGGGTGCATGCCACGATTACTGGGACAAGGTTGGGCAGCTGTGGCAGGACGAACAGGGTCCCCTCGCCAGGGTGCCCCTCACTACGCCATCACGCATACTGTGGATCCTTGCTGGAGGAAAGCTACCTGGTGTTGTTTCTCTCCACACACTCCCCCCAGCCTTAGCCCCTGATTCCTTTCGGGGGTGCCCCATGCCTTGTGACAATGGCGTGGAGCATTCTGGAATGTCTGGGGATCAGGGGAGGCTGGGCTGCCCATGAGGTGGGATAGAATGGGGGCACGCAGACACATCAGACAAGGGGAGAGGCCTGGGGGGCCAGGGGCTGGAGGTCAGCTGGGGTCCCAGGCAGCTGGCAGGGGGAGGGAATTGGGGAAGGGCTGGGATAGGTGGGCATCACGAGACGTTTGGGTCTTGGATCAGTGGACGGAACTGTGTCCCATCCCGGAGTCACTCATGAAGCCCAGGATAGAGCCTCCCTTTTCACATCCCCAACCCCTGCCCCTGGCTATGCCAAGTGTGGAACCCAAGCGTGTGGTTCCACGCGCTTCTCCCTAAGCAGCCATGGGGACCTAACTCTGCTGCAGTCCCACAGCCTTCCTAAGGAGGGGACTGTCTTTGTTGCAGGGGTGCTGATGTGGGCCCTCCCTTAGCTTCAGGGATCTGCCCGAGGCCCAGCCAAACTCTGATTCCCAGACTGTCCCAGCCCTGCCCTGAGCCTGGCTGCTCCCATAACTTTTGACCACTGTTTTTATCTGAGCTCTGCTCCTATGGGTAACTGAAGGCTTTGGGCCAGATCAGTCCTCCTGCTGGGCTTTAGTTTTCCTTTCTGCAAAGTGGGGCTCTGGCTGGGTCCACTCCAAAGGGTGGAGATGTATAATCTTGCTAGTGGCTTATGAGGAAATGGGGCGGGAGTGGGGGCAGTTATCCAGCCCTCCAATCTAATGATTCAACCAGAAGGGAAACCAAGGCCCAGGGCAAATGTACCTGGCCCCACCCTGAGGCTGCATTTTAAAGCTAATCAGGGCCTCTTGCCCTCTGTTGTATCCTGATCTGCCTCCAAAGGAGGGAGCTGGAGGGAGGGGAGGAGGAAAAGACCCTCCTGCTGCAGATTCAAGTGGGGACCCCAGGCCCCCCAGCCCTGAGCTTTGGGCCCCCTCTAGGAGCAGACAGAAGTTAAAGCTGTAGGCTGAAGCTGGAGGGGTCAGCCAGTCCCCTCCCTCCCCAACCATGAGGGGGGGGTTGGGGGGAGGGGCTGTCCAGCTGTCAGCAGGACAAGGACCCTGGGACCATATGGGGACACAGCATGTGCACCAGGGATGCACACCTGGGGGGTGAGGGTGGAGAGGATGGAAGGGACCCTAGGGGCTAGGGGTTGCCTAAGGAGGGCACCCCATACCCCCAAGTAGCCTAGCCCTTCCATCACGCCTGCTGTCCCCACCCCCACCCCAGGATTTTCCCCACAGCTGAGACCTGGCCCCTACTCTGCGGCGGTGGTGGTGGCAGTGGTGGCGGTGGTGGTGGTGGTGGCGGCAGCAGCAGCAGCAGCAGGAACTTCTGGGGCGGCACTAGCAGCCTCCGCGTCTTCTTGCAGCAGGAAATTGTATTTGCCGAAGTCGTCATCCCGGGGACACAGAAGCATGTCCTTGCGGGCCTTGGCCAGCTTCTGCTTCAGCACCTCCCGTCGGTCCAGCCACTCACTGAGCTCCTCTTGGCCATGGGCGCAGCGGCACTTGTCCCCATCTGGGCAGGCCTTGCCTTTCTGGAGCCTGTGGGCAGTGTGAGGCTCACTGCCTGTGCTCTGTGCTGGTGGACCCAATGCCTACATGGCCAGAGACAAGCATTTCCCTGGGCAGCCTCAATGCCCACTCAGGATCACTTGGGATACCCTAGCCTTCTCTGGGATCTAACCAGTGGCTGCAAAAGAGGAGCACACCCTCGATCCGCCCCGGTGTGCCACCTGTACCCTGCCCACCGCCGGCACCTGTCACAGAGCCGGAACTCGCCCATGGGGAAGCGGTAGGCCCAGCCACTGGCATCGCTGTCGGAGGTGAAGACCTTCTCCTTGTGTTTCTCGGACTGGATGTGCTGCTGCCACTGCTTCTTGCTGTTGCTGTTCTTGCCACAGAGCCAGCAATGATAGCCCATCTGGGGACACAGCATTGTGGGTGCCAGCTCCTCTGGGCCACCTTCTGAGCCACTCAAGCTCAGGCTGGGCCTAACTGCCTGGCACAGGGACTTACCATAATGTCGGCATAGTCTGTGGGCATCTGGATCTGCTTCTCGCCTTCCCTTGAGCTGATGGGGGTCCCTTCCCCGGGCTTCCCTGGGTTGTGTTTTTTCAGCCACATGTCATAGGTCTGCTGCATGTCCAGGACTGGACAGGGGACAGAGTGTCTGGTGAGGGGTTTCTCCTCTATCCTGCCCCAATTCCTGCTGGACGTGGGAGCCATGGGACCCCAGGCTAAGGCCTGGCCACCAACAGTCTAGAGGGGGCTGGAGAAGCACAGGCTGGGGGAGGGGAAGGGATGGCAGGGGCTGTGGGGTGTGCAGCACTGAGGAGGTGGGGGCGAGCCTGCCACTTACTCTTGTTCTCCTTCATGAATGTCCACATGTCCCTCTCTTCTGGGCTGTGTGCAAAGGAGCAGTTGCCCACATACTGGCACTTGCGGCCATTCTGTGCGTGGATGCAGAGCTGGGAGCAGGTGGGGAGAGCCACTGAGTCCTGTGGGCTGGATGCAGGGAACCCCCCTGCCACCCCCACCCCCAGTGCTCACATCGTATTGCTGTGGGAAGTTGCGGATGGATGGCAGTGGCCTCACAGATACCCATTTCCTCTTGGCCTTGGACATCACCAGAAGGACCCGCCGCTCCTTGGTCCAGCTGTAGAGGAGAGGGGAGCTGCTTGGGGAGAGCTCCAGAGGAAGCCCTGCCCTGAGCCTTGACCTCCTCCGCTGCCACCATGGTACTCAGGTGGCTGCCACTGTGGCCAAGCCCCTGCCTGGCACCCACTCACCAGTGACGGGCCTTGGCACTACAGTACTTGAGGTCCTTGTCGGGCTCCACCACTTGCCCATTCCTCCAGCACTGGCCACACACAAACTTCATCTGCAGGTCAAAGGTGCTGGGCCCATGTGTCCTTGGGGCACCCTGTGGGGTACAGGGAGGGGGTAGAGAAGCTGCAGGGCCCAAAACCCAGGGGTCTTTCACTCTTGCATGCAACCTCTGTGGGTGCTGGGGTTACCTAGCCTTGGAGTGGTTAGGTCTACTTCCTGGTTCTACCCAAAGCTGGTGGCCTTCCAATGGTGGCGCCTGTGGCTTCTTAGTGGGGGCCTGGTCTGGAGCTGTGCTCTTGGCTCCCAATTGAGCACTTTTCCTTCCTTCCTTTCTTTTTTTTTTTGTCTTTTTGAGATAGGGTCTCACTATGCAGTTCAGGGTGGGCTTGAGCCCAGGTTGTTCTCAAACTCACAACAACCCTCCTGCCTCAGCCTCCCAAGTGCTGGGATTACAGGCATGAGCCACCACGCCCGGCCACTTTTCCTTTCTTGGCAGCCAGAAACCTCCCTTTCCAACCTCCCCTCATTCCTTCAGAGGCCTGCTCAATGGAACTGCTGCCTTTTCAGGGCAGTGTGCCACTTCATAGCCCCCTGCTTTCCACATGCTGTTCCCCCAACTCTTCCCGTTTTTTCTAGAAACTGTTTATTTCATTTCATTTTTGGTACCAGTCATCTAACTCATGACCATGTACTTGCAAAGCAGATGCTTATGCCGCTAAGCTAAATCCCAAGCTGGAACTGCTTTTAAACTCAGCTCCAGTGCACATCCTGCAGGAAGCCCACCCAGGGCTAAGTCACAACTGTCCCTGCCACGGCTACAGGAGTCACTGAGCTCCCTGCGGGAGTAACTGCCCAGCTCCTGGGAAAATGAGGGCAGCCCTGTTAGACAGCAGGTACCCAAAAGCATTGGGGCAGTGAGAGATGCCATTCTCGGGGCACAGTCAGGGCTGTGTTGACGGCAGCCCTTTGTCCCACCTATTGCCGGGTGTGCGCTGGGTTTGCACTGGCTCCGCACACGAGGATGAGAGCTGTGGACTTCTCTGCTCCCATAGCGAGGCTGCCCTGGTTGGCCTTTGCCCTCAGCCAGCTGCACACATCTGAGGATCCAGGTGGGCTACTTGGGAGTGGGCTCTCAAGGGGCTGGCATTGGGTAGGCTGATAATGATAAGGGGCTCTAGCCTTGCCAAGTTTCCAGAAATCCTGAGTTTTTCCCAGGGGTCTACAGTGTCAGTGCCCACCACTGGACTGTCAGAGGCTTTAAGGGGCCCATAATATTCAAGCTAATGTGGGGCTTAGAAAAAAAAAAAAAGGCTTGGGTCACCTGGGCTGCCCTGGACTCCGGCCACTTCCCGGAGCAATGTCCAGCTGTCTAAGGTCACACCCGCTGCACTGCTTCCTCCACTTCTGCTGCCAGGATGGGGAAAGTACCCGCCCTCCTGTGACCTCAGCCAACCTGCTGCCCTGTACCTGCCCCAGCGACCTCTCCCCTCCACTCTGGAGGACCCTCAGGTGTGGGTTCAGCCCTGTGGACAGCCCTTGCACCTCAGGCTGGTGAGTGCGCGTCTTCTGCCATGGCAGCAGTCCTGGGGTGGGTACTGTAGCCTGCACCCTGTGATCCCGCACTGTCCAGCCTGGGGCCTGCCCTGCCTCAGAGCAGGAACTCTGTCCTCACAGGTGACTGACCCCTTGCCTGGTGCCAGGCAGCTGACACCTGCTCTGCTCCAAGATGCTATACACACAATGCAGGGACAAGGTCAACTGGGATGTGCCCGTGCGAGAGAAGCTGGGTGACCCTCATGACTTCTCACAGGAGGCACTGAGCGAAAGGCACTGCTCCCACCCTGCAGGGGATGTGATGGGGTCCTAGACGTGGGGTGGCTCAGCCTCAGGATCATGCTTCACAACCACAAGTCTCCTTCAGAGCGAGTGGAGACTGGCAGAGCAGGTACCAAGCCCACCGTGGGGAGGCATCCACATGAGGGTGGGAGCCTGGTGTGAGGAAGGCACCAAGAAGCCACAGGCCCCAGGGCCAAGCAGCTTTTGCCCTGACACCTTCAACTTGGCCTCACCCTCCAGAGGACAAGAGCAAGCCCCCCTGTTCCTGGTGTCAGGGGTGGGCAGGGTGGGCCCCTAGCAGAAGGGGATAGAGCTATTCACAGCACCTTGGCCAGGGAGGCCGGTGCTCCACGGTGTATCCGTCACATGCCATGTATGAAAGTGAGGTGAACTCACTTTCACTGTCTCCTCATCCCTGAAACGACCCTCGGGGGTTGGGACCCTGCTGTCATCCTCGGTTACAGAAGCCTCACAGCCCAGGGAGGTGAAAGCATCGAGTAGGGCGTGGCATGGCTACAGTAAGGGCCAGTTCCTGCCAGCCTCAGTCCACCTGGGGGGGGGTGTGGGGGCAGAGTGTCAAAATGAAGACTCTGAGGGTGTTCAAGTAACAGGAAGGGGAAGGTGGGGAGCCAGCAGGGTATGCTCTGGACAAGGTGGTAGGGAGGCTGGGATTTTCCCCTGGGCAGGTCTCTAACAAGCCTCTGAGCTTCAGTTTCTCCATCTGCAAATACCACAATACTCTGGCTCACAGAGGCAAGACCCTGGTGAGGGTCAGGAGGGACGGGAGGGAACACAATCGGTGAGTATGAATCTGAGCTTATGAAGGTGTTTGCATGGTCTTAAAGTGGCCTCGGAGGCATTTAATAATTACAGAAGGCAAAATGTAACTTGATGGCAGGAAAACTTCTACAGTGAAGGCACCTTAATCAAGTTACCAGAGTTTAATCACATTATCCCCAGGAGCAGGATAACTGAGATCATGTGCCCACTGCCTGCTATGAAAGCCAGGGAATTTGTGGCCTCGTCTCTGTGGTACTGGGACATAGCACATGGCCCTACAGAGATGGACCTTCTACAGAACCACTGGCTCCTCAGAATGTCCATGTCACGGAAGACGAAGACTGACAGATGGAAAAACTGTGCCCAGTTAAAAGGGACTAAAGAGATGTGACAACTGACTGCAGTGCTTACCTGAATTTTGGGGATAATTCACAAAATCTGACTGATAGTTTCACAGTAATGCTAATTCTCTGATGGCATAGTGTGTTATAGTTATACAAGAGGGTGTCCTTATTTTAAGATCTACACATGGAAGTCTAGGGGTAAGAGGATGTATCTGCAACACACACACACACACACACACACACACACACACACACACACAGCGTGCACACCCCAGCAGAGATAGCAAAGCGAGTATGGGACATGACACAACGTTAACTTCGGGGAAATCTAGCAAAGGGCCCCTGTGACTTTTTCACAGGCATCAGACCACCTTTCCACACCTACACACTGATGCTGGAGTAGAGACAGGGACACACCCTGGCAGGCAGGTCCCCCCAGGGCCTTACCGAGCTGCTGCTGGCCTTCCCAGCATGTGCTTCCATCTGCTGCCAGTACTTCTTGGATTCCTGAACGATGTCTTCATGTGTCATACCTGGGGAGGGCAGGACAGACACAGATGTCCCTCAAGGGGCTTGGCAAGAAGCATCTGTGGGGTGCCAGTGGCCCCTGATGCCCAAGCAGAGACCAGTCAGGCCTGCCCACAGTAAGACTTAGGGTATGGGAGTCCACTCACCCTCCCTGGGCTGTTTGTGCATCCCGACACACGGACCAAGCCCTGTTTTCCTCTGTCCCTTTGGACCACTACTCAGCAGCCTTTCCTGCCTCTGCCTCCCCTGTGGTGCTCAGCCCTGTCCTTGCTTAGCAGCAGCCAGCTCACTGGTTTTTAGGGGTCCACACCTGTCCTGGTCGGGGTCGTCAGCTTATCAAGGTACCACGGTTCCTCACTGCCGGTCCCAAGGCACAAATGCTGCAGCCCGGTGGCCTGGGCTCTCCCACTCAGATGCCTGAGTGGCCTTGGACTGGCCCGGTAGCTCTTCACAAAGCCTGTCCCCTCCCAGGTACCTCCCAGTGCACACCTTTGACCCAGAGCTCCCCTGTCTGACCGCCTGTACAACTCTCCACCTCCAGCTGACCCCTAACCCTGCTCCTTCTGCAGATCCTGGTTCTCAGGCCAGGGGACCTGAACTCAGATGTGACCTGGACAAGTTCCCTTCTTCCATACTCCACACTGATCCCTCAATGAATCTTGACGGCTCCACCATGAAAATACATCAGAATCTGGCCACTCATGCTGCCTCCACTGCTACTGCCACTCCCCTCTGGGCACAGTGGCCCCATCCTCTCTGGTTTCTCCACATCTGTCCTTGTCTCAGTCTCCTCCACACAGCACCCAGAGCGACACTGACCAGACCCACAATTCCACCTACACTCCAGGCAAGCTTGATATGGTGGTGCACACCTGGAATCCTAGCACTCTGCGAGGCGGGAGGCAGAGGCAGGGGAGGGGGCAGCTCCTCAGAGTTCTGGCTCTATGGTACAGATTGGGTCCTGAGTACTTTCCACCAGGATCGGGTTTTGTCCTTTGACAATATTCAAGCCCAGCCTGAGCAACTTAGCAAGACTTGGGCTGGAGATATAGCTCAGTGTGAAGGCTCTGGGTTTAACTCTCATCATAAAAACCAAAACCGAAACAAAAAAAAAGTATCTCTGTGCACCGTGTGTGTGTGTGTGTGTGTGTATGATATATATCTTTGTCTTTTTGAGACAGGGCATCGCTTGCAGTTTGAGCTGGCCTTGAGCTCACTTTGTAGCCCAGGCTGGTCTCAAACTTGCAAAAATCCTCCTGCCTCAGCTTCCCAAGCAATGGGATTACAGGTGTGCACCGCCACACTAACCTTTTTTTTTTTTTTTTAACACTACATTTAGACAACTGCAGACACTGCATCTGTTGAGACTGAGACTGTCATCAGACAAACATGTGGTTAGGGGTTTTGTCTTTCTACAAGCACCAGTGTGGGTACCCAGATCCAGACAGCGTAGGGAATCACTCTATAGCCTCTTGGTGCAATGAGGAGGCTGCTGCCCAGCTCACATGGCAGACTGTTTTGGTCAAGTTTTTTGTTGTTGTTGTTTTCTTTTTCCTTTTTATCGGTACCGGGGATCGAACTCACGACTGCCTGCTTGCAAGGCAGGCGCTTATGCGGCTGAGCTAAATCCCCAACCCCTCAAGTTTTTTTTTTAAACACCAGGGCTAATAGTACAATGACAATAAAACGGTAGTATAGTAATATATAAATCAGTAATATACTTCATTTATTGTCATCGCCAAATTCTGTGTACTGTACCTGCATATATGTGCCATGCTTTATGACTAGCTGTGCAGCAGGTCTATTTACACCTGTGTCACCATAAATGTGTCAGCAGAGTACAGCACAACCATGTCATGACATGTATGACATCCCTGGGTTATTGCAGCTTTTCAGCTTCATCTAATCTCATGGGACCAACTTTATACACTTAGCTCATTGTTGCAAATGTCACTGTGCAAGTGTAACTATTTCTTTTCCTTTTCTTTTTTGAGACAACGTCTTATCATGTAGTTCAAGCTGGCCTTCAGTTCGCTATGTAACCCAGGCGGTCTCAAACTCACGGCAAGACTTCTGCCTCAGCCTCCCCAGTGCCCTTCCAGGTTCTCACCTGAGTACTGCTGCAGCAGCCACACTTTGAGCTCGATGAAACTGTGGGCGAAGTGGCAGCTGTCTTCCCGCAGGCAGCCGTAGCGTACCTCGTGGCGGCAGACGTCGAACTGGAAGTGCTCCTGGAACTGGCGGATCTTGGAGTACTTGAGGGAGGTGGAGCGGACGATGTGCACCAGGCACCTGGCGGGAGGGCAGGTGGGGGAGGGTGTGAAGCAGGCTGCAGCCAACTCTCAACCCTCCCTCCAGGCCTGAGGGCAGGCTTCTTCCTGGGCAGCACAGCTCAGGCTTCAACCTGGAGCTGCTTCAACGCGCAGATGCCAACAAGCAGAGGGCGCCAGACCCCACCTGCAGAAAGGCTGGGGGAGGGGGTGCCTGCTGCTGCAGGGGAGGGGGCAGCTCCTCAGATTTCTGGCTCCATGATACAGATTGGGTCCTGAGTACTTTCTCTCCACCAGGATAGGGTTTTGTCCTTTGATGTATTGAGGAGGGAACCCAGGGGACTTCACACAGAGCTGCCTGCCCAGTCCTTTATGTTACTGATTGATTGCAAAGCTGTCTGGGCTGAGGCTACACTTGCTACCCTGCCTCAGCCTCCCAGAGTACTGAGATTACAGCGATGTGCTCCCTGGCGTAGCTGACAGGGCCAGGAATTTTTATGACACTTGTTGGAACCCTTGATTAGATCCAGCCTTCCAGCCTTACAGAAGAGGAACCCAAGGTGGCAATGGCTAGTGCTCCATCATAAACCTGGCCGCAGGCCAGACTGGGATGTGGGCCGAGGTCTGCCTGGCTCCCAGACCCGGGCTCCATCACCTACTCTGGGGCAGAACTGGGGTGAGAAAGACAGGACAAAGGCAAGGATGCCAGGCTTGACCCAGCCTCTTATTCCCCTGCCTGATGTTGACATCAGGACAGTAGCCGAAGTCGGGCAGGCATTAATCCTGGTCCTGCACTGCCTGCTGGCTGGGCTGTTCCCAAGGCTCAGCTTTCTCTTCTGTTCTCTCCCAGAGGACCACTAAGATTATTAAATGCTTAGAGTATAATAGCTGCCCAAGAAACATGGCTCCCGCCCTTGACTTGTGGAGTGCCCTGGCCTAGATCCCTTAGGTCTATCCTTTGCCCTCAGCCTTTCCCGGCCATCTGAGCCACCTCAGGGGACTCTCTGGCCACCCCCAGTCTCCACTCACTTGTTGTTGTAGAAGCTGTGCTTGGCAGCCAGGTTGGAGCAGACTGACGGAGAGTCCTTGGTGCCTTTGCTGATGATCCGAGGCTTACTGTCAAAGCAAATCTGCCAGGAAGGGGAGGGGCTAGCACCCTGAAGGGACACCTTGGAGGAGGCATTGGGACCCCACAGGGACACCTAGGAAAGGGCAGCTGGTTCCCTTAAGCTCCATTCTGGCCAGGGGAATGAGGAAGAGAGTCCCAGGGTCTGGCTCTCATGCCTCTGGCTCTAGCTCACAGACCACCTTCTCTTTCCTCCCTTTCTCAGATGCCTCCAGATGTAGAAGGGAGTTCTTCCATGTCCCTAAGCCTCAGTTTCCTCAACTGCAAGACAGGGGACAGTCACTCCTGTTTTGTCCCACAGATTTACTGAGAAGGTTAAAAAATAACATAAAAAGGAACTACAGGTGCTTCGTAAGCTACATTCTGCAGTGTGGCTATGATCCCCAGGCCTCTGTCCCTGAGCAAGCACGCACTCATCCAACTACCCTAAGACCCGAGAAGGGGCAGCTATGCTGCAGATGGAGCAGACTGGACTATACCAAACCCTGCCAGCAAACCAGAGCCAGAGGCCCTGCTCCAGAGATGGATGTGATGCTGCCCCTACCCCTGCCAAGCTGGGGGTGGGGTGTGGAGGCAGGGCGAGGTCACCAAGGTGCAGCAGGGGCTTCTCAGTGGAGTTTCAGGGTCAGAGCTAAGCCTGGCAGTCTGAGGCTCAGGAACATGGGGAGCTCTCTGGGGAGGGCACAGGCAGGAAGGGCAGTGGGCCCTGAAGCTGGCATGGCCAGATGTGGTGGGAGGGATGGAAAGCAAGGCACCTTGCTCAGCTCAGTTCAGCACCCCCAACACACTATACCTACAATGGGGGGATTCAGGGCCTCCCTGGGCAATCCCATCTGGTCCTGTGGGTCCTGGCTGTGAGGCCCACCAGAGGCAGCCAGCAATGGGATGTGGGCCTCGGCTCCAGGCCTGAGCTCAGCTCTGCTCTGTCCTAGACTGGCTGTGTGGCCGTGGGGCAGAGCCCTACCTCCCTGGATGCCAGCATTACCGAGAGTAAAGGGACACTGCAGTGAGGCAGGACAAAGATCTAAAGCCTGGCCTATGACTAGCTGCCAGGGAAGGACACGAGGCAGGGCTACTATCGTTTTCTGGCCTCAGTTTCCACCTCTGCAGAATGAGGGTGCAGGACAGATATTGGCTCTTATAGACAGGCTCCTCCCTCTGGGCCCACCTTTGTGATAGCCCAGTGATCTATGTCAGGGCCCAGCGATGGCCTTGCTGAGAGATACCCTGGCCCTGCATGCACCCTACATTGAAAGGGAGGAGGCAAGGCAGCTGGTGGGTACCTCGCAGAGGAAGGTGAAGATGCCCTGGTGCTCCTTGAGGAGCTTGGCGATGGTGAGGCTGCCGCGCTTGACACCCCCCAGTGGGTCGAAAAGCAGGTCACGGTTGAGGGTGCCCTTCCGCTCCTCAGTCCACACATCGATCTCTTCCTGATGGTAGGCGAAGGTGCAGTTATCCCCGTACTTACAGTCCTGCTTGTTAATCATGTCTGCAAAGAGGCAACAGGACACAGTTCTGCCAGGCGGGGACGGCAGCCCATAATGTGCCCGTGACCCTGCTGTGGCCAGGGGGGCTCAGAGCCACTAGACAGCGTGCTGGCACCTGAGGATGCTGTGCCCAAGACCTCTGTAGTCTGGCATCTGTGGAGCTTGGTAATCACTCCTTCCCGGGGCTCCTAAGGTTGTTTTTAGCAGGCCAAGCTGGACAACAAGTAGCAAAGAGGGTTCTGCACCAGTGGACGGGTTTTAAGAAATAATTATTCACTGGAAAAATTTTAGGACCAAGAACCTGAGTCTTCTGACTAAGTGGGATCTGGGTTTCCCCATCAGCCCCTGAACCACAGCCATCTCTTCTGTGAGCAGAGAACATTGGGTCATGGGGATGCGTGGGATAGTCAAACTTGTGGCCAAGTTTGGAAGGAGAGAAGCAGGCTTGGACTTTGCAGAGCTGCATTCTAGGGTGGGCCCTGATTTTCCCTCCTGCATTCTTATAATGTTTGCTTGTCTCAGGTCTTGCTATGTTGTGCAGGCTGGCCTTGAACTCACTATGTAGCCCAGGCTGGCCTCAAATTTGTGGTGATCCTCCTGCCTCAGCCTCTGAGTGCTGAGATTACGGCTGTAAGCACTCCATCCCCACCCTTTTCCTCATTTTCCTTATTGTCTGTCTTGTCCCACCCTATGCCAGGGTTCAGGCACAAGGAAACTCAGCTCATAGACTATGGGAGTGGGTGCCATCCCTGGGTGCTAGCAGAGGCAGATGCCAGGAAGTGCTGCTCAAGGGGCTCTCCAAGATCTGAGCAACAGCATGGGGCTGGGGTTGGGAATGGCTAGGGCAGAGGGTGAGGAGGTAGATGTGGGCACCCAAAGGCTATGAACAGCTTGGATTTGATCCTCCTGGCCTTAGGCAGGGCTGCAGGGAGGACGGTGAAGCAGTCTAGAAGCTAAATGGGTAACTTGCCACAGGCCAGTTTAGGGGACAAAGCTAAAGTGTGGGGTGGCCTTTCCCAGCCTCAGTTTCCCCATCCAGAGCTATAAGGATGCCTTGTGGTGAGTAGAAAGGGTGACAAGAAAAGTGCCCAATCTCGTGCCTATCCATGAGCCACACAGACAGGACAAGTTGGAAAAAGAAGCAAGCAAGCAAGCAAGGCACATGATGAATGTCCACCCGGCACTGACCACACCGCCATCACCCAGGATGCGTACACTGCCAATAACGCTATCGTTCAGCAGAACTGACAGCCAGGCATGGTGGTGCACACCTGTCATCCTAGCACTTAGGGAGGCCAAGGCAGCCAGATTCCAAATTTGAGCCTAGCCCAGGCAACTTCCTGATTGTCTCAAAATAAAAAAGGGAGAAAGCTCAGTGCAAAGGCTCCGGGTATAATTGCCCAGTACTCAGTGGACACACACACACACACACACACACACACACACACACACACGAAGCCTTCCTACATGCCAGTCCCAAGTACTTTCTACAGATTGTGCCTGCGGCCTCCCCACAGGGGAAATGGACTGTCTGTGACAGGGGCCCTCACCCTCCAGAGGTAAGGCCATGGAGCTGGCTCCTAGCACATCCTGACTGCCATGCAGTTGTGCCTGGAGCCGGGAGCACAGGACACTCACTGAGAGGGGGAACTCATCCTTGATGGCCCCAAGGCCCAGACTCTCAGTTTCCAATCTCCCCTGCAGCCGTGAGGGCCATATCTGCTCCTGTGACCAAGCAGCACAGTGGCTGGGACGAGAGGAGTGAGGACCTTGCTGCAGCCCACTCACCTTTGCACAAGTAGTAGGAGCCCACAAAGCTGGTCTTGGTGGGCCGCGGCCGGATGCGCTTCCAGGTTTGGTCCTCGGCGCTGCGGAGCCGCCCAAGCAGGATGTCCCGCTTGCACTTGTGTTCTAGGCCCTCGCGGTAGGTGTAGTCACCTGCCCTGGGGCCTGGTGCATGGGGAACAGGGACAGAGTGAGTCTGGGCAGAACTGAGGGGTGCAGAGGATGAGGGTAGGCCCTCACTGGGGTGGGAACTAGAAAGCCCGCCTGCCCTGTGGGACTTCTGCAGCTCCTGCCATCCCTTCCCCTACTATGTACCCTCTGGAGACAGTGGGCTGGAGCAGGGGCTCCAGGGAGTCATCATCCCCCATCCTTTCCTACCACTGCCCTGACCACGATCTGTGACCAACCTGCCATCCCAAGGTATCTTGAGAAAGCTCTGGAAGGCTGGAAGGCTAGTGCCCAAAAGAGGATGCAATGCCCAGGGCCCACCTTCCTCACCCGGCCCAGGGGGCTTGTTTTCTGATTCGAATCTCTCCCAAGCTCCCATCCTGAGGGCAGGACGTGTGGCCGTGGATGTGACAGTGACATTACCTGTCTTGGGGTAGCAGAGCTGGCAGGCCTGCTTGAACTCGTGGGTGGCAGCCAAGGGGTTCTTGATGAGCAGGGCAGTGTTGGGCATGGAGGGCTCCGGCTGTTAACGGAGGAGGCTGTGCCGTGAGTGGCATCTGGCAGGAGCACCAGTGTGGCCTGGGTGGCCTCCAACCTCCCATCCTTCCCAGGAGCAGAACCAGAACCCAGACTCTGACAGCCCTTGTGGTCCATAAGCTCTGGACCATCAGTGCTGGGGTGAACAGGGGAGCATGGCAACAGTGGAGGGGCCCAGGCTGCGAGCTGGTGACTCACCGATGGGGCTGGCTTCTGAGTGCTGCTTGGAGGCCGGTGTTCCTGTGAGTTGGTCTCCTCTGGGCAAGGAGGTGACACAGGAGTCACCACCCTGCCACTGAAGGCTTAAGGGGTCTCTCAGGTCTTGGAGAAGCCCCAGGCCCTCCTCACCTGCTCTCATTGGCCCCATTTCTGCCTCTGTTCTCTTGGGTTAGGGTGGCCTGATCACATCCACCCCTCGAACACAGCACGAAGCCTGGGCTCAGCTTGGCTCATGGCTCCTTGGAAACTGTGTCCTACCCATGACCCCTGACTCTTCCACCTCCAGGGCCTGGGCCTCTGCTCCCCCTGCCAGCTGCTGAACTTTTTTTTTTTTATCGGTACCGGGGATCGAACTCACAACCGCCTGCTCTTTTTTTGTGTGTGTGTGTTTTTTTGTCTTTTTCATTTTTATCGGTACCAGGGATCGAACTCACGACTGCCTGCTTGCAAGGCAGGCGCTTATGCTGCTGAGCTAAATCCTCAGCCCCCTGGCTGCTGAACTTCTCTCCAAGACCTGGCCCAACCCCCACCTCCTCCAGGGAGTCAACTCAGCACCCCTGTGGTCTCTGTGGCCTGTGGCCTCCCAAATGCTCTGACTGCCCCTCTGCTACGTGGGCTACAGCCGACCTTGGGAAGTCAGTCCCACCACAGCCCAGATGGGTCAGTTTCTTCCAGATCCCTGCCATCCCCTCCCCCAGCCTCAGGGACTGCTGCATGGAAGCCCCAACCTACAGGATCTGAGGGGTTGCACAGTGAACACCAGACTGGGCTCCCAGGGTCCGCAGCTCTACCCTTTGGACTTGAACAGGACCTCCAGATCAAGGCTGGGCTCCATATGGTGTGACCCTCTCTGCCCTCCAGAGATGGGAGTTGTGATAGGTCCTTGCAAACTGCCAGGGAGTGGGGGAGGGAGGCCTCACCCATGAAGGAATCAGGTTTGTCCAGTGAGCCTCGGGCCGACCCAAAACTGTCGAGGGCATCCAGCCGGGTCTCTGAGTACGGCAGCAGGTCCAGGGGGTCCAGTGTGGGGCCTGGGGGGTCGAGGGCGTCCAGCACAGAGGCAGCCAGCTTCTTGGAGGGGTCCATGACAAGGCCGAAGGAAGCAGGGGGCAGCGGGCTGGAGACTGGGATGGAGCCACCCACCACAGGTGGCAGGAGCGGGGTCCCTCCAGGAAACACAGGAATCAGCTGGGGCAGCTCACTGGGCATACTGCCACCAGGCAGGCCACCCTGGACCAGAGACTGAGAGCAGAACAGAGGCAGGGGGTTACGAGAGAGCTCAATTGCCAGCCCCAGCAGAGTACTCTGGGAAGCAAGCAAGCTGCTGCTCCCTGCCTCAGCCTTCCACCCCGTCTGGGGTGGCTTTGTTTCCATGCTGGCCAGTCCCTCCCAAGGCATCTGTTTATCCAGCAGGGATGCTGACATAAGACTAAAGGTCTCCAGGGAGACATAGCTTGGGAAGCAAGAGGGTGGCTCACCAGCGAGTCCAGGAGGGTGTCCAGCTCCGGACCAAAGACATCCCCATCTGAGAAGTCATCCAGGTTCTCTGTACTGGGGGCGGTCCTGCTGCTGCTGTCCAGGGGAGCCAGCAGGTCCAGGACATGAGGGAACAGGGGCATCGTGGGGGTGGAGGGAAGCAGGGCTGGGGATCCTCGAAGGTCCACATAGCAGTCTGTGGAGGAGGTGGGCTCAGGGACTGCATGGGTGCCACTGGCTGGGGTACACAGGAGTCCTGGGGCTCAGGGCACTTGGCCAACACCTTCCCACTTCCCCAGCTCTGCCAGGGACCCTGCCTCGCTGCTACCTAGGCCCAGAGGCAGAGAATCAGTGGGGCCAGAAGGGCCTTTCAGTGCCACAATAAGGCTCGCTGACTCTGGCTCTGGCTGGACAGCCACCATGGCCACCTTCCTCTGGAGAACACAGTAATGCTCCAACAGTCATTGATAAAGTATAACCCTTGCAGCCAATGAGGGAGGGGGAAGGTTTTGGAGATGGTGGGTGCCCAAGGCAGAGAGCCCCTGGAGAGAGCCCCAGGGACCAGCCAGAGTGGCGTCTGACATCCTAATCTACTGAGCTCTCAATGACTGGTCCCCATTTCTACCCTGTTCTCTTGATCAGGGACATTACCTGTTTCGATGTCATCTATGGACCCCAATCCATTGGAAGTTCCCTGTAGAGAGGAAGGACATGAGAGCATTTGTTCAACAGGGGACATGGGAGGGGAAGACCAGGGACCTAGCACTCCTAATATGGCTCTCCTGTGACCAGGGACGCAGCAGCTTCATGGCCACTGGTCACATGTCAGCCCTGGGGTCCAGCCTGGCGTTAGACTAGCATGGGCTGGGACCTGGGGTATGGGATTGGAATGTACCTCATACGAGGCACACACACGTTGAGCCTCAGTTTCCCTACCTGTCAAAGGCTGGGTGTTAATTTGTGTCTGGATGTCCCCCAAAACCTCAGTCTTAAGACACTGCTTTTTCAGAGGTGGCTGAGTCTACAGTGTGTGATGCTGGGATTAAGGGTGTGTGGTTACTAATCAGTCCAGTGGATAGGTCTGGCATGACCCTAAACTCAGCAGTCTGGATAAGATATAAGGGGTTAAGGGGGCTGTGAAGCCCCCTTATTCCTTTGCTACCTTTGGCCTGCCATGAACTGGATTCCCCTTTGCTGCCTCTGCTGTCTTGTGGGCACTGAACTGTTTCTCCTCTGGGATGCCCCTCTGTCAAACTACCCCACCTTGGAGCCAGCGGTGAGGCAAATCAACCTTTCTCTTTTAACTGCAGGTGAAGGGTGAAGACACAGGCTTCATACCAAGGGGATAGCAATATTGTTACAAGCCTTTCCCACCACACCACAGACGACCGTAGCTCAAGGATAAAAGTGTCTACTCCCTGAATGACCTGTGCCCTCTCCTGTAGGTATAGCCCCAGGCCCCAGAGGAAGGAGAAAAAGGGGGGCCTCTAAGGTGATACACAGCCAATGTGCCTCCTGTCAGAGAGCTGAAGCTTGCTCTGCAGCCTAGCTGGCCCCTCAGCCTCTGTGGGCCGTTTCCCTACACAGCCACCACCTCCTGGGGCTGTCACAGGGCTCAAGTGACTTGGTACTGACAAGAGCTCAAGCTGAACATGATGGCACATGCCTGTATTCCCAGCACTTGGGTGGCTGAGGCAGGAGGGTCACTGCAAGTTTGAGACCAGCCTGGGGTACAAAGTTAGCTCAAAGCCAGCCTGAACTATATAGCAAACCCCTATCTCAAAAAGACAAGAGTAGGGCCAGGAATATAGCTCAGCAGCACAGGCACTTGCCTGTAAAGTGTGAGGTCGTGACTTTGATCCCCAGTACCAAAAAAAAAAAAAAAAAAAACAAACCCACAAGAGTTCTATTAGATGCATAACATTTTTTGAAATGCAGTCTCGCTATATAGCCCAGGCTAGCCTCAAACTCATAAAGACCCTCTTGCTTCCATCTCCCAAGTGCTAGGATTACAGACATGTGCCACCATGCCCAGTTAATGCACAGGGCATTTTCAAGTGTGACTCTCGGGCCAGGGATACAGCCTGCCTGGCAAGCATAAGGTTGTGAGTTCAATCCCCGGTACCAAAAAACAGTTAACTAGAATGTTACTCCCTGCAGGCTGATTTAGGGCTCCCTCCCTGACAGCCTTCCCGGCCTTGGCCCCACCTCTGGGCCATGTGGAGTAAGTCATTCCTCTCCCCAGAATGTTCTCGCTTTCTCTGAATCTTCCCAGTAAGGGATTGGGTGCTGCCCGCCTCCTTGTTTCCACAGATAACCAGGCAAGGCCAGGTCCCTTGCCATCAGTCACCCTTCTGCAAAAGGCAGCAGGAGCAACCAGTGTCTCATCCTCTGCCAGTTGTGGCCATCACTTCACCCCCACTGCTGTGTCCAGCAAGGTGTCACACAGAGGAAGTGGGGGCCCAGCCTGTGGTTCATGGGGAACCCTTCCAGCAACACCTCTGAGCCCATGCACTGGACAAGGGAAGTGTGAGGTTTCAGATGAATGTCTGGAGGGACAGCTGTGATTCTCCCTGCTGGACAGCCACCTCCCAGCCTCCTCACTGTGGCTGTCAGGCTCCCCTTCTGCTCTGCAGCACTCCTCAGCAGTAGCATCCGTTTAGCTAACAGGGCTCAGGGAGCCCAGGTTCCCAGCAGGCGCAGCCTCATGACTCACTGTATCCCACAACCACCATGCAGAGAGAGGGAAGCAGAGTTGTGAGAGGAAGAGTGGACACTGTAGATAGGGGTTCCTCACATCTGAACCCCAACACATCCAGCTATAGGGCTCAGGCTCTCCCGTGTTCCCTGGGAAGGAACTGGCCTTGTGGTCTGGGGTGTCACTGCTTCCTGACTCCAGGCCTTTGCCAGGCTGTGTCCACTGAGTGTTCCCGTCTTGCCTCTCCCCACCTGGGATCTGCTCCACTAGATCTGGAAAGCCCTCTCCAGTCAAGCTGTCTCAGGCTCCTGTTCCCATACTCAGGATAGCTTCAGTCCGTGCAGGGCCCTTGCCTGCCTCCTGCACCCTAAGAACTCCCAGTAGGCACTGCCAGGCCACACTGCTTCTAGCTCACGTGTGGTGTGACTGATGGGCAGAATGTGTGAGAAGGCTACAGGACAACTAGTGGCTGCACACACCGTGTCTATGTGCCACCTACAAGCTCCCAGGGGCTATGCCTGGGCACTACCCAGCACTATGGCTGACCTGGTCCTCTCCACAGTGGCATCCACACCACTCGGACTTCTCACCAACCTCCACGTCTGTGACCAACCCTGACCTCTATAGACCCAGTGGGGTCCCAACAAGGTTGTAGGGACGGGTGAAAGGCCTGGCAGGACCCGGGGTGATCTCATGCCACTGGCTAGAGATGACATCATTGTATTGCCAGAGGTCACCCACACCCCGGAGAGTGACCCCAAAGCTTTCCCAGTAGATGAACTGAGACAGGTTGGTAGAAGGGTGTGGTAGCGGCCAGGGGGCCCAGCCCCCATCCTACCTGATCTGCCATGGCAGCTGCAGTGCCGTTGCTGAGGAGAGAAAAGGTTTCCAACTCCTGCCAGGGGTTGGAGAGAAGAGAGAAGACATTAGGGTTCAGGGAAACTGCTCTCACTGCACAGGCCGTGACACAGATGCCAAGGTCTACAGTGGGTCTGAGGTTCCCTGTCCCCAGCCTGCCGCTGTCACCTGCCCTGTTATCCTGGGCCAGATTCAGTTTTCTTCCATCCTTGACCTGAATAGGGGGCTGAACACAAACACTCCTGCTCCATTGTCAGAGACATTGCTAGCTAGGGGCCATCTCCAGACACTCTCCTTTCCTTCCTGTCGTTTGTCCCGAGGGGAACACTATTATCCCTGTGTTCCAATGCAGAGACCCAAGTGGAGCTCGCTTGGGTCACAGCAGACTCCTGCACACAGCTCCCAGCTTGTGGGATCCACATGGATGTGAAGGAGTCAAGCAGATACCAACCTCCCAGAGTTGCCATGTGCAGGCTAGGAACACAGGCTGAAGGACGCTGGTGTCACCCTGGTTCCTCCAGGGTGGTGCAGGCGGCCAGGATGGGGAGGGAGGTGCTTAACAGCTGCTGTCTCTGAGTGAGCTGAGCGGGAACCTTGGCTGCTCTCTCCTTCTCTACAAGGTCCCCGTCCTCATCCCAGGGCTTTCAACCAACAGGGAGGGAAGATCACTTGCTTCCTCTCACTCCGCTGTCCTCACCCGGCCCGGCCACCTTGTACCCTTTCCAGCAGTGCTCGGTCCCTCCCTCGTCCACTTGCCACCCCAGGCCCAGAGTCACCCACCTGGGGCCTTTTGTACGCCTTCCGCACTCGCAGCCCCAGCTTCTGCGCCAGCTCCTGGCCCAGCTGGGTGACACTTTCATCCTGGAGAAGGTGAAACCCAGGGTATGGGCAGGTCAGGCTGTGTGACCCACACACCCATGTTGTAGACCCCTGCAGCCTTGCAAAGGGGCCCCAGCCACCCTGTATGAAGGGCAATGAAATGATACCCAGGATTATCGCTACTTTCCGAGTCACAGCTGGGGAGCCACGCCACTGGATCCACAAACTCATGCTTTTAAATTTATCTTTTCTTTTAAGGAAGGCGAAGAAATAATTTTGTTTTTGAGATGGACTTTTTTGTTTCTTCTTTTTTTTTTTTTTTTTTTTTTTTTTGTTTTTTTGGTACTGGGAATCTAATTCAGGACCTTGAACTTGCCAGGCAGGTGCTGTGCCACTAAGCTATACTCCCCCCCCCCACAAGTCTTTGTTTGTTTGAGACAGGGTCTTGTTATGCAGCCCAGACTGGCATTGAGCTTCTAGCAATCCTCCTACCTCAGCCTCCTGAGTGCTGGGATTACAGGGGTACACCACCATGTCTGGCGAGGGTGGACTCTGTGTTCCCCAAACTGCCCTAGAACCCTGGGCTTAAGCATCTCCTGCTTCAGCTTCAGTAGCTGGGACAACAGGTGTGCAGTATAGTACTTGGCTTTGGTATTTACTGAGGATTTGGTATTTACTGGGTAGTACTGGGGATTAACCCTAAGACATTTTCACTGAATTCTGTCCCTGGCATTCACTCACTCTTTCATTCATTTTGAGACGGGGTCTTGTTAAGTTTCTCAGTTGAGACTCAAACTTGGTGATCCTTCTGCCTCAGTATCTGAGAGTATTGGGATTACAGGAACACCACCATGCTCCGTTAAATATTCTTTGTCTCTTGCAGAGCCAGAAATGGCACCTAGGGCCTTACATACGATAGGCAAGCGCTCTACCCCAAGCTGCCTCCCAGTCCTTAGCTTTGATTTCTACTGTCCAGCGGATACCAGTGTCACTGCCCATGGCGGGACTGCTCCAGCAAGGGCAGGTGCCCCTCATGGCCCCATCACACCTTCAACTCTTCTCCTGGCCTGGTTCGTCACTGTGTTTTCCCAGAGGATCTTTTCTGGGAATTCAGGCATCCAGAACTATAAGATAATGTTTAGCTTTGTTTTATGGGGCATATCTCTTTTTCATTCTTTCTTGAACTTTCTAAATACTCAGGCTGGCCTAGAGTTGGCAGAGCCATCCTCCTGCCTTAGCCTCATGAGTGTTGGGATTACAGGCATGCAACACCATGCCAGGCTATGCATTTTTAACATGGGATCTTGCCCAGTTGCTAAGTTGCTCAGGCTGGGTTCCAACTTAAGATCCTCCTGCCTCAGCCTTCTAGAGTACCAAATTTATAGGAATGTGCTACCATGTCTAGCAAGAAACATTAATTATGAACCAAACAGGACCAGAGAACAGTAAGTGAATTCTACTGTGGAGGGGACGGGTGTCCAGCTGTGTGTGGTCATTTGCCCTTGCTGTGTTCTCACCAGCTGACAAGTCCAATCCTAAGACCCCGGCACATACGGCCCCACTTTCATCCTCACAGCAACAGAGTGCAGAGATGGAGAGCACAGCCCTGTGGGTCCTGCCTCCCCTTAGCTGTGCTCTTGATAATTCCTTTCTCTCCACTCCTCTGTGATTTCAGAGTACTGTGGACTGAGCCCATATTGCCAGTTCCCCCTACTTTTTTTCCTTTTTTTTATATCAGGGATCAAACTCATGACCTGGCACTTGTCTGGCTGACGTTTGTACCACTGAGCTAAACCCCCAGCCCTCTCTACTTTTTTTTTTTTTTTTAACAACTGATTTTTAATGTTAAGACAAGGTCTTACTAACTGCCTAAGTTGCCCAAGCTGGACTTGGAACTTGTAAGCCTCCTGCCTCAGCCTCCCTGACTGCTTGGATCACAGGCATATGCCACTGTGCCTGCCTCCTTTACCTTTAAATGAGGTACAAAAAAGAGATCAGCCTTGCAGGGCCGTGGCAGGGACAGGGGTGAGTTAATGCCCCTCACGAGGTGCCAGCACCGCATGCGGTCGGCGCCGCCAAGCTCCGTGCCAACTCTGCATTGGTATCTGCAACTCTGGGTCACTGCGGAGGGCCCGGGGCTCAGGAGGAGCGGCTGGGCTGGACTCACGTGGGGGAGCGCCAGGGAGCACCGACTGCTGCACTCGTATGCCTCCTTGTGGCGGCCCAGCTCGTTCAGGGCGCGCGCCTTGCGGAAGAGCGCGCGGATGCTCTCGCTGTCCAGGCCCAGCGCCTTCTCGCTGTCTTCCAGCGCCTTCTCGTACAGACCCTGGGGAAGGAGCTGCTGCTATGACCCTCGCTCACCTTCCCTCGGGTGCCGGCGCTTCCCCAGGCCGGATGCCAGCCTCCCTTCCCTTCCACTCCTTTCCCTCCCAAGCAGCACTAGGGTGCAGTGCTGGGGTCTAAGACAGGCAGTGGGAGAGGAGGCCAGGGAGGGAAGGAGGAGGCTGGAGCTCTAAGGGGAAATCGGGAAAGAACGTGAGGGTGCTGGGGTGAGGGACGGGAGGGAAGAGGTGGGTCAGACTCCAATGCCCAGGGTCACCCCAAGATTCTAACTCAGCTTATCTGGGACAGGGCTAGGATATCAGACTGTTTCTTTTCTTTTTTTTTTTATTGGTATCGAGAATCGAACTCATGACCATGCACTTGCAAGGCAGGCGCTTATACCGCTGAGCTAAATCCCCAGCCCCTATCAGGCTGTTTCTAAACACTTTTTATTATGCATCTGCATCCATTTTTTTTTTTTTTTGGACTTGGTGTTTTGCTCTGTTGCCCAGGTTGGCCTCCACCTTCTGGGCTAGAGTGATCCTCCTGCCCCAGCCACCAGAGTGGCTGGCATGATGGATTTAAGCCACCATGCCCAGCTCACCTGTGCATTTAAAGCTCTCCTGGGGAGTCTGTGATGCTGAAGGGATTGAGTGCTGGGGTCTAGGCAGGAGGCGGCACCCAAGGTGTGAGGACAGCAGGGCAGGAGAGGGGCTCAAGGCTCACCATGGTGAAGTAGCAGGCGGCCCGGTTGACATGCAGCTTGCACAGCAGCTCTCGGGGCAGGGCCACTTGGTCGGAGGCAGCGTAGTCGGCCACATTCAGCCCCTCCATGTACTGCACCAGGGCTTGCTTATAGTCCTTCTCACGGAACAGGTCATTGCCCTCGGCGAACAGATTCTGCACCAGCTTGAGCAGGAAGGCCTGTGTGGGGTTGGGAACATGGACTCAGGGCTGCTCCCTGCTGCCCCAGTGCCCAGACCCCCTCTTCTGATACCCGCCTATCCCCTCACCCAGCCCAGCAGCTGACACTCACCTCATATTCCTCTTGCTTTAGGGGGAGGGTTGACCTGGCAGGGAAAGAGAGGGACATGGGGCTGAGTGAGAGCACAGCTGCCAGTTTGGGGAGGCCCAAATAGAACTGCAGGCCTAAGGTGACGCAAGTGCCATTCCCCCATCTCAGTCCTTGCTGCCTTGGGGCCAAGGGGGAGAACAGCGCACAGGCTGCTCCATTTGCATTTTCCCTGCAGAGAGCTGGGCTCCCCCAGGTGTTGAGAGAGCAGCAGGTACCAGCACCCTCCCCCAGGAAACCACTCTCTTCTCACAGACCAGGGGATCCATGACTCTTGGGGAATGGGGAGCTGGACTGGGCCTGGGGTCTCCTGGGCCTGGAAAAGGCAGGAAGAGGGGAGGGCACAGGAGCTCCAGAAGCAAGAGTGCAGGTCAGAAGCAGCAGAAAAGCACATGCCTATAATCCCAGTTATTCCAGGGAGGCTGAGGCAGGAGAACTGCAAGCTCAAACCAAGCCTGGTGAGACCCTTGTCTCAAAATAAAAGGGGGGGGGCCTGAGGATACAGCTCAGTGCAAAGGCCCTGGGTTCAATCCTCAGTATTGAGGGGGTAAAAAAGGATGGAAGAATATGGAGCAGAGCCTAAAAGATAGTACACAGCCCCTAAGTGGAGATTAACAATTTATTAGATCCCTGGATGCCTGCAGGCTTGCAAGAGAAGAAACAGGAAGTACTGGGGCAGAGGTGGTGGGTACTCAAAGACTGACAGAATGCACAAGACCCAAGGGTGCCCAGGGCCGGGGTGCAGGCCTGTGGAGTTCATGCCTTTGCCCTGCCAGCCCCTTCCCCACTCAAACCTGTCTGGTCCCAGTGCCTGCAAAAGTACCATAAGCTGGCCTCAGCCAGCAGGGGCAAAAGGAGAAACTGCAAGTGTGGCTTTAGGGGGCTCCAGGCTGCCCACCCAGCCCGCCCTGCCCTCCACTGCTTACTGAATGAACTGCAGCCCCTTCTCGATGTCCGCCTTCCGTTTCTGCCTCTCCATCAGTCTCTGGAGGGAGAGTGCATGCAGCCCATCAGTGAGCAGCACGGCCAGAGCAGGCCGATGCCCTGCCCTGCCCCACCCCTTCCCCCAAGGCTCATCCAGCTCCACAGGGCCACAGGGTCTGTAAAGAAGATGAGCCATTTCAGGGTCTACGGGGACTGTCAGCATCAGACCAAGCCACCACCCTGCGGGCCCTCGTTCTGTGTAGCTCGGTTTGTCCAGTGTCCTCAGTGAGTAAAGGCTGCATTAAGGCAGCCTGTCCTTCACTAATGGCCTGGGATCCATACTACCTGGGACACCCTCAGATTCCTGGGAAAGACCTTGTATTACCATCCAACTCCATAGTATAGAGAAAGACACAGAAAATGCAAACTGATGGCTGACGAATGAAGGCGCGAGGGACACTCAGTACTGGCCCATGGTCCCAGCCAAGCCGACTGTGCTGGATGGACTGTCAGTGCCTTCACTGTCACGTCCCACGAGGACCCTGGCGCTTAGGGAACACCATGACACACAACCCGCCAGCCAGCAACACCTCTGTGCACCCTGGGAGAACAGCCGGATAGACAACCAGTGTGCCCATCTCATCTGGGCAATGCCAGCACCTGGGGCCCCATCCCGAGTCCCTCCACCCACTCCACGGCACCTGTGGCCACCCAGTCCACACCATGCAGTGCATGCCGGACGGAGTGACTATGATACAGGCCCCACCCTAGGAGCTCCCTGCAAGCAATGGCATCCCCGTTCCCCCAACCACCACATACCTGCTGGCCCTCAAGGTATGCAGGTGGAGGCCTGGGTCCATCTAGTGTTTTAGATCACATTGTAGGATGTGATTTTGGACCACACTGTCCCCAGGGGAAGATGAGGGAACTGCAGCTCCTGACACCCAGACTACCTCGAGGGCTGGGAGCTGATCAGTAACAGTAGACGTGTGGGCCAGTACTGCTTCTCTCTCAGCTAAATACACTACAAGGGACTCTGGGTAAGACACTAGCCGTGACCCTGTCCTGACACATGAGGCCGGTGGCAGTGGCCTTGGTCTCTCAGCCAACCCATCGGTAAAACAAAGCCCTCAGGCCTTCACCACAGCAAAGCCTATGGGCTTCCCTACTGCCTAAACTGCAAAGCAATCTCTTCCCCACATGTCCTTCTCCTCTCTAAGTGGCCCCATCACCCCTTGCTCATCTGAGGTACACAGAGCCTGAGGAGCCACAGGCCAGGGGGTCAGAGCTTGCCCCTGGCATGGGCAGTGCTAATCTAGCAGAGGGGCAGAGGGCTTTGCACATGCCAGGCAAGTGCTCTATTGATGAGCTACATTCTCCCCCTCCATAGTCTTGTTAAACTGCCCAGGATGTCCTCAAATTTGTAACTCTCCTGTCTGAGCCTCCCAAGCAGCGGGGATTACAGGCATGAGTCATCTTGCCTGGCTTCAGCCAGCACCTTGATCTAAGATTTTTGCCTCAAGAATTCAAGAAAATAAGTACCTGCTGTTTAACACATTCTGGCCAGTCTGAACCACCAGTAGTACGTGTGTAACTATCCCTTACCCCACTCCCAGCAGCGGGACATACAAATTATAGCACTGCTGTGAACATGGTCAACCATAAGTCTATGGGTTTTTGGTGTTTTTTTGGTACTGGGGATTGAACTCACTACCTTGTGGTGCTTGCCAGGCAGGCACTTGTGCCACTGAGCTAAATCCCCAGCCAAGAGTCTATGGCATTTTGTTACAGTAGCCTGTGTTGAGAGAGTGGTAAAAGGGTCAGTTATTCTCAACTAAAGAGAGGTGGGTCCCTTGAGAGTTACATGAGCACTTCAGGCACAACCAGGAGAGGGCACCTAAAGGAAGAAAAAAAAGCATTTGGGACAAAAAAACCAAAACAAAACCAAAAACAACCAACAAATTCCGGATTAGACTGAAACAGGTGGGGCTGGGGATTTAGCTCAGCAGTGTAAGTGCTACCAGGCAAGGGCGAGGTCATTTGGTACCAGTTCAATCCCTGGTACCAAAAACAAACAGGGGCTGGGGATTTGGCTCAGCGGCATAAGCATCTGCCTTGCAAGCAGACGGGCGTGAGTTTGATCCCCCGTACCAATAAAAATGAAAAGGACAAAAAAAAAAAAAATTTAAAACAAACAAATAAAAAAAGGTATCTAGACTGAGACAGGAGAGGTGCTAATGAATGTCCCTAATCTCAGCACTCTGGGAGGCTCAGGCATGAGGATACCAAGTTCAAGTTCAGTCTTGCTACATTAGAAACTTAGCAAGACCTGTCTCAAAAGAAAATATAAAAAGGGCTGGGCATGTAGCTCAGTGGGAACCCTTTGGGTTCAATCCCTATATTAGAGAAAAGAAGGAAGAATGGGGAGCGAGGGGGAGAAAGTGAGTGAGAGAGAGAGTGAGATAAGGAAGAACAAATAAATGAATGAGGGCCCAGATGTGCCCAGGTCCTGCAGCCAGGCAGAACAGTTTCCACATCCCCAACTCAAGGGTTCTTAGAATTTAGGCATTTCATATTACACCTGCCTCAATTGAGCTGTTTACCAAAATACAGCTGTGAACTAAGGACCCAACAAGAAAGGATTGCCTCAGTGTGTCTGCACAGCATGTGACTACGTGGCCAGGTGCACACCTGGTCCACCCAAGTTCTCCACTTGATTTCCTAGTGTCTCACTTGTCTCATGTTGAAAGTGAAGATAATGTCTACTGTGTAGAATTTTTGAGTTAAATAGGACATCTGGCATACAATAAGCACTGAATTAAACATTAGGTATTATTATTCTATAATCATTATTATTGAAGAGATGAAGGGGACCAAGAGATGGGAGGGGGAGGAAAGGATGGAGAAGGGACATAAAAAAGAATTACGATGTTAAAAAAAAAAAATTAAGACATGTTATGTTCATGGACCAAGCCCAAACGATGAATGTAATCACTATGTACTGCAAACAGGTACCAATAAAACTCAAGATTGAAAAAAAAAAGGAGATGAGCAAAGAATAGGAAACTCGCAGGAAATATAAATCACTAATAAAAGACACTCCATCTCACTGATAAAAGACCCCTTTGACACTCAAGAGACTAGGATAAGAAGAAAGCCTGGTTGATGAGAGTAGAGAAACAGGTATTCTCGAAGCCTAGTCATTGAGTGTGTGAACTGGAACCATCTTTGTGATGCTGCTTAGCAATCTCTATCAAAATGAGCAGGCAGTCCTCTGGCTCTGGCTAAGCCAATCATAACAGTCCTTTTCCTCTGGCAGTGATTGGCTAGGTTAGGGCATGTGACATCATCCTGGCCAATGAGAAAGGAGGAGAACACAGACAATGGGCTTCTGGGAAAGAAAAGCACCCCCTTCTCTTTTTCCTTCCATTGTATTTCCAAAGTATAATAAGGTGAGTCCGCCAGGGATGGCAGAGGAGGAAAAAATCTGAAAGGTATTTAGTGACCATTCCAACCCCCAAAATTAAACCCCAGTGCCCCAGAACTGTGCAACCTCCTTTTTTTGTGTGCAAATTCCTGTTTTGAGGTAGGAAGTGTGTTACTTGCAGCTCCAAAGTCTTTCAAATGATGTCTGATTTCTTGGACCTGGAAATTTCACTTCTGAGAATTTACCTTTGCCACATCCTTGTAGAAGTACTGAACATTTGCAGAGGGGCATGGTATTTTTCAGAATGAAGAAAAAACTAAAAGTAGTCTTAACTTCAGCAGGAGAGAAGGAACCTAATTAAATTGTAGTATTTTCCTACCACAGAATACAGTGTGACTACTGAAATCAACTTGTTTTGGAGACACTTCCATGTGTGGTTGAGAAATTTAAAAAGCAGATTTCAAAACACTTGTGTTGGAGGATCAAATCTGCATGTGATGTGTGTTTACATGTAAAGACGGAATATGAAAGAATATTCTCGGGGCTGGGGATTTAGCTCAGTGGCATATGCGCCTGCTTTGCAAGTGTGCAGTCGTGAGTTTGATCCCCAGTACCGATGAAAAAGACAAAAAAAAAAGAATATTCTCCAAATTATCTGCTTCCCTGTGGGGAGTAATAGCTGTCGGAGAAACAAGGCACAGAATCCATTCTTTTCCGCTCTCCTCAGCATGGTTTGGATTTTTTTGCACACAGCAAGTATTATTCTCGTAAATGGAAATACAAGATGAGATAATTGACTTGAAGGCAACCCAGTAGGACAGGACTGAGTGGGAATCAGTGGCATGAGTGTTTGCCTTTAAACCCAGTGCCAAATGTTAGTGCCAAAATGTTAGTGAGCTGTTCTTCCTGAAGGAGAGAGCAAACCACTGACCTGGAGATGAGGAGAATGTTTTGTTTTGTTTTGTTTCTATTTTGGGGAAAGGTTTGAAAATGACAGTCAGGCATTGTTATGCATGCCTGTAATCTGAGCACTCAGGAGGCTGAGGCAGGAGGATCACTGAGAATTTGAGGCCAGCCTGAGCTACATAGTGAGTTCAAGGCCAGCCTGCACTATAAAATGAGGCCCTGTCTCAAAAACAAACAAACAAACAAACAAAGACAATTTTAGAGACTCGGATTTTCATTAAACCAGGAGGGACTGTGCCAATTTTTTCAAACCCTCATGATTACCTATGCTTTGGTAAAATGAATGAATGAGTATCAACTCACCCACCAGCCATTTTATAGACAGGAATGAATGGATTTGGTGTGCACCTGTAGCCCCAGTTACTCAAGAGGCTGAGGTAGTGAGATTTCAACTGAAGGTCGGCCTGGGCAACTTAGTGAGACCCTGTCACAAAATAAAGGGCTGGTGATATTAGCTTAGTGGCACAGCACCTGCCTGGCAAGTGCAAGGGCATGAGTTTGATCCCCAGTACAGAAAGAAAGGAAGGAAGGAAGGAAGGAAGGAAGAAAGAACAAATGAATGAAAGAAAGACAGGCTGTGATATATCTCAGTGGTACAATGCCCCTGAGTTTATTCCTAGTATCAAAAAAATAAACAAGGGGAAAAAATGATTACAACTACACTCACA